CTGGATCATTCAGATGGTCATTTGCAAACTTCAGACGGGCTTTGACATGCGTTGGCTTGAGGAAGGGCACCTTGCGTGTACTGCAGGATTTTAATCCTTGACGGCGTAGAGTGTTACTGATTGTTTTCTTTGAGACTGTGGTCCCAGCTCTATTCAGGTCATTGACCAGGTCCTGCCGTGTATTTCTGGGCTCATTCCTCACCTTCCTCAAGATCACTGATGCTCCACGAGGTGAGATCTTGCATGGCGCCCCAGACCGAGGGAGATTTTCCGTTATTTTGTATTTCTTCCATTTTCTTATAATTGCACCAACTGTTGTTGCCTTCTCACCAAGCTGCTTGCCTATTGTCCTGTAGCCCATCCCAGCCTTGTGCAGGTCTACAATTTTATCCCTGATGTCCTTACACAGCTCTCTGGTCTTGGGCATTGTGGAGATGCTGGAGTCTGATGATTGAGTGTGTGGACATGTGTCTTTTATACAGTTAACGAGTTCAAACAGGTGCAGTTAATACAGGTAATGAGTGGAGAACAGGAGGGCTTCTTAAAGAAGAACTAACATGTCTGTGAGAGCCAACATTCTTACTGGTTGATAGATGATCAAATACTTATTTCACACAATAAAATGGAAATTAATTATTTAAAAATCATACATTGTATTTTTCTGGATTTTTGTTTTAGATTCCATCACTCACAGTTGAAGAGTACCTATGATAAAAATTACAGTCTTCTTCAAGCTTTGCAAGTGGGAAAACCTGAAAAATCAACAGTGTATCAAATACTTGTTCTCCCCACTGTATGGAAGCATGAATGTTTTTAAGAAAAAAGAAAGTCTCGCTGTCCGTTGTGGCTCTGTTTTGAAGTGCCTTTATAGAATTATCTAGAAGTGCTGGTCCAGAATTGAGATGATTTTAGTTGGACTAATCTAAGTACATACATTTTAATGCCTAATATTAGTCTAACTAAGACAGTAGCGGCGGGTTTTCCCATCGTTTGAATTCTGGTTCAGTCTCACTTTGCACTTTGCATTTATCGTCAATTTTTGCAAAAAGTACATTTAAAACAGCTTTCCAAGTGTTTTTTTTCATGTATATGTTTATACATCTAAACAATTTGGTGCAAAACAGGTCTTCTGCTTCCTTTTCCAGACTTTAAGAAGGATGCTCCATCCCTGCTGCTAGTTCTCAAATGGGGTGGGGAGCTGACGCCAGCAGGCCGGGTTCAGGCTGAAGAGCTGGGCCGGGCTTTCCGCTGCATGTACCCCGGAGGTCAAGGTACCAAGACACATATCTACACAAACACTCACACACACACACACCAGCCAGTCGTTGCAGTCAGAATCAACTACGCTTTTCCTACTCTGTGAAATCTTTCATTTAGCAAAATGTTAAATACCCTGAAATTAGTTAAACAAATGTTGTTTGTCAAATAGAATATCTATGTTCATGGATCATACTCTCGTATATCTGTGAGAATGGACTTGTATAGATATTCAAAAATGTAAATTAACCTTAAAGAAATGGCTACTGAGGGAAGAGGGTTTGGAGTATTCATTTAGTGGCAGATGTACAGGCTTTTAGGAGCGACTGTGTACCTTCTGTCTTTTTTTTGTTGTTTGTTGTCACTGTCTGTCTTTTTCATATTATGCTTCAATGGTAAGTTTTAAATAAACTCTGTGAGACAACGTACAAATCTCAAATAAGACTTCTGAAGGCAAGGCATGGCAAGCTATTGTGAATCTTGTAGACTTAAGGTCAAGAATATATTTTTTAAAAGGAATCAAGTTAAAGCTACAGTGAGAAAAATAAGCATTTGAAAACCCTGCTATTTTGTAAGTTCTCCCTCTTAGAAATCATTAAGGGGTCTGAAATAATCATCATAGGTGCATTTCCACTGTGAGAGACATAATCGTGGTGAAAAAAATCCATAAATCACAACTTATGATTTTTTAAAACTATTTGTTATTTATTATTAGCTTGAAAGTAGGAGTTACACTGCTAAACAAAAACATCTTTGAGCTACTGTTTAACATTGATAATCATTCCAATGTTATAAACAAATGATTTAATATAGAAAAAGTCAAATGGATTGTGGCTCATTTTATCTCATTACACTTAGACGTCACTAGGTGTGTGTAAAGTCAAAGAAGGATCTATTAATGGCCTATTTCTAAGAAATCTTGTGATCATCTCCTGCATAACACATTTTTTCCCCACTTTGCCATTCAAACTCTCCTTCTCTGTTAATTCAAGGCCATAAAAAGCGACCAAAATAAAGTTTGTGCATGTGTGATTCTTTAAGCTCAATCAGCTGCTGAAGACAAAGTGTTCAGCGCAAAGTTTGACCTCAAGTTAAGATTGTGTTATCAACTCGAGCTCTGGCATTCTGAATCGATTGCGATTTGAAAGATAAAACAGTTTTGATTTTGCTAAATGGTGTCACAATGAAAGATAGCAAGGATAATCACAAAGTTACTACTTTGTGTTACACCTTTACCACTTTACAACATTATGTTGATAGGTCCTACCTTTAAAATAAGTTAAAGTAAGATTTTTATTCTTCTGTGAGAAGTTTGAATTGATTCATGTTTTTTCTTTTTTTTTTCCGCTAGTTAGTAGTCCGGTTTATGTTTTTTAGAATAATGTTAACCCTGTAAAGAAATATGTATATTTGATGTATTTATTAGACTTATTTCACCTTTGATATAGTCAAAGATTTGTTTTAGAAATGCAGGAATAAAGTTTTTGTGTTTTTTTTTAGTTCATAGAAAGAATTCTGTGGAAAATATTGCTACAATTTGATCAAAAGACCTGTTATATTTGGTTATTCATTTTCTACATTATATTTAAAAAAAAACAATAATAATTCCGTTAATGTCCATTGATATTTAAAAAAAGGAACTGTTTCCGGTGTTCAAAATACTACTCACACTGCTATCTAGCTGCTTCGACATGTTGCCCTTTTCCACTGCATTATTTTGCTGTTTGCATTTGCGTATCGCCACGGTGCAGAGTACAGTTGGGTGTGGGCTGCAGCATAACCAAGCAAACAAGTCCTTGTTGTTTCCTCCTTTTCAGTTTTAATATTTGAAGCTCAAAAGGAAACTAAATTCTGTGTTGCCTTAAAGATGGATTTGAACCATTTTAACCAGAGAAAATGTATTTAAATAAGAGATTTCAGCTTGTTCCCCCACTTGTTTCCCCACTTTATCTTTTAACAGACCTGTAATGAATATTACTGAGCTTTCCTTCTAAATGCTTTATTTTATAGTGCATGCAAATCATCTCCCACACTGCCCAACTGCCCTGAAGCAGAACTAAAAGTCAGTGATGATGCAACCCATCCCTTGACTACTTCTTTTATTTTCCTGAAAAGAAGGCAGTTTTGTCCCCCTACCCCATCCCAGCCACTGTTTTCATTACACTTTCTTCACCACAACTTTTTGTATCAATTAACTGTGCTCTTCTCTTGTTACCTGTTGTTGCTCTGTGTACACTACTAGCCGGTAATCGCCGGTCCCTTGGCTGTGAGTCCCCTATTGAGTTTGGTAAGAGAAGGGTCTCCTGGCTGTCACCACTCCTCTCTCATTATGAGCGCTCCATCCGCTAACGTGCTCTGATCTGTCCTCATCTTATTGTGATTTGGTTAATCACTCCTGGCAACTTGTCCTGTTTTCCTGACACTAAGACTGCTGTGGCCCGTTTGTGTCGTTACCAATGTGCTCTGGAGGTGATCCATATAGCAAATGTTGTTTAGTTTGCTGGCTCGTAAATTCGCGGGCAAGGGAAGTGACAGCAGTTTTTGCTAATGCGGATCATCTCATACTAATCTGATTGCATATTTTTAAGTCAGTTGATTTTTTTTTTAAATACATTTTTTACTTTAAAAATTTAGTTTGACAAAATACAACTCATTTTTGACTGCATTAAAGCTTCACCCTTCATTAGGATATTTTCATCAAACTAAGCATGAATACAAAATACATCAATAGGCAAACATCAGGCTAACTGGCTGTGAAGTGGTGAGAAATGCATGTGTGCATCAGTGTGATTTGATCTGTGACATTAGTATCCATCAACACCTTAAACAGAAGTTAATGTAGGCAACAGTCCAAATTGCAAAAAAGTTGGGACGCTGTATGAAATATCAAAATATTTTTTAATTCAAAGGCAGTGAACACACAGGCACTCATGTGTCAAAGATTCTCATAATCTTTTAGGGATATATATATATATATTTTTTTTTACTATAGTGCAATGAAATTGCATTACCTGATTTACCCACAAACTTTACATCTAAGAGACTCTCCCTCCCTAAAGTGCTCATTTATTTGAATACCCTCTCATGTTGAGCCTTTAATTGTTCTGTCCCAAACAATGTTTGGATGTGTTGCTGCCATCAAATTCAGATTATCTATGTTCTACTGTGGATAAAATAAAATACTTTTCTGCTACTTTTGACATATTTTACCAATATTTTTGGTACAGATTGTTTTTACTTAAATTACAATTTTTGAGAAAAAGAGAAAATAAGGTCATGTGGTGGTTTTGATTTTATCTACAGGGGTGTTCATGAATCTTGGGAGTGTTACTCAATGTGCACTCACTTCACTTTCATTTCATTTTAGTCACAGCTTTAACTTCTCCATTGAAGCTTCCATTTAAGGCAAATGAACCTTCAAAATCCTTCAGAGCAGACTGAGAGCAAAGCATTTGAACTGAAAGTGATGTTGCATATATGCAGGTGCTGTATGTTGTATGTTTAATGGAAATCTTTGTTGTTTTTGGGTGTAATCGGCACACAATTTCTTTGTTGTTGTTTTTTTTAATTATCTCATCTTTCACCAACCTGCCGGCTCATATTGCTCTTGAAAATGTCTGAGGCCAGACCAGATAATGACCATGCTCCTCTTTGTTGTTTATCAGGTGACTATGCAGGATTTCCCGGTTGCGGTCTCCTGCGCCTGCACAGCACTTACCGTCATGACCTGAAGATATACGCCTCTGATGAGGGAAGGGTGCAGATGACTGCAGCGGCTTTTGCCAAGGTAACAATGACATCTTTAAAAAAAAATATATATATATATATTTTTTTTTTCTCCAAAAAGTGAACCACTAATAGCTTTGAAGGACCACATGTTCTGCAGCATGCCTCTTTAGGTGGGTTTGGATCCCGAAAATGCTAAGCATTATTTCTTTAGTTGGCACATAACTTCAGAATTAACCATTTACTTCATACCTGTTCAATTTATGATTCTGCTAGAGTGTGAACCAGCAAAGAATTTAAAAAATACACAAATCTTATGAAGAGCCACAGAAATTCATTAAAAAAAATCAGGGCTCTCTATTTTAAGCTTTTAAACAGAAAACAATTAAGTGGTACTGAATCATGGGCAGGTATGACATTTCCCACATTGACACCCATTTACTTTCACCAAGCTGTTTTTAAATAGATACCTAAAGGCAGATTTAAAAATTCATCACAGTTTTCACAAATAATTTCAGTTGTGTGGTCACATGGGCCAATATTGGTTAGGAAGCTGAAATTAAGAATGACTTTCATTAACAGACGTTATTTTGTCTGAACATGTCACACGAAAAAAAAACTTTCTCTAACAAAGATGAGACAAACTGCTGTAAAAATGTTTACTGTATTAACATTTTTCTTCAGAAGTGAACATCAGAATAAACAACAGAATGCAAAAATGCTCTTTGCTCTCACAGCATAACCACAGAAGGCTTTTTTGGGTTTCTCTGCAGGGTTTGCTGGCTCTGGAGGGGGAGCTGACACCAATTCTGGTTCAGATGGTGAAAAGTGCCAACATGAATGGACTCCTGGACAGTGACAGTGACTCTCTGACTGACTGTCAGCAGAAGGTGAAGGCCAGGCTACATGAGATCATGCAAAAGGACCAGGACTTTACACAAGAGGACTATCAGAAGGTATTTGCCAAGCACGGAATCATAAAGGGCAAAGTTTAACCAATGAATTATGCAAGCATTCTGTTTGCAGAAGTGAGTCGGCTTAAACAGTTAAACGTGCTTCTGAAGTCTTTAGTTATAGAAAGGGGTTTTTGTAAGTGTTGAGTTGGGAAAATGTTGTCCTGTATGCACTGGCTGATAAGAATATCCTAGACTAAGTTTGGCATGATTTTATCAGTTGTCATTGTGTCCCAGTTGGCCCCGACAGGAAGTCCATCGCTAGTGAACTCAATGAAGGTAATAGAAAATCCAGTCAGAACCTGTGACAAGGTATACGGACTCATCCAAAGCCTCACCTCACAGATCCGAAAAAGACTGGAGGACCCTAAATCTGCAGGTAGGACCAACTAGAAGAACCGATTAAAATTTCTGTGCCGTTTTTTTTCCTGTAAGAATAATTTAATTAAATCAGGAACGAAAAGTCACAAGGTATGTGATGTGTTCATCCTGGTGCTTTTCCTCAGATTTGCAGCTTTACCACAGCGAGACATTAGAGCTGATGCTGCAGCGCTGGTCCAAGCTGGAGAGAGACTTCCGCATGAAAAATGGGCGCTACGACATCAGCAAAATCCCAGACATTTACGACTGCATCAAATATGACTCGCAGCACAATGCTTCGCTCAGCCTGGAGGACACATTGGAGTTGTTCAGGCTGTCTCGCGCTCTGGCTGACATAGTCATCCCACAGGTTAAAGCAGAGCATCTTTTGAACTGTGCCTCGTTTAGGTTCTAGTTGACAAGACTCCATCTCTGTCTCTCACTCTGTATATACAAATGTATTATATGAGTGTAAAAGGTGTCAATATTGAAACGGCTGTTCCATGTAAATCCCATCAGGAGTATGGCATCAGTAAAGCAGAGAAACTGGACATCGCTCAGGCTTACTGTGTTCCTCTGATGAAGAAAATCCAGCTGGATCTGCAGAGGACTCATGAGGATGAGGCCGTTAATAAACTGCACCCCCTGTGAGAAGAGCTGTTGGAGGACACACTCATGCTTTTGGATAAAGACACAGTTCTGTGCAAGTTCATTTGAGCCTTTATATTTTGTCTTGTGTTCTGGTGCTCAGGTATTCTCGGGGAGTGATGTCCCCTGGTCGTCATGTTCGCACACGCCTCTACTTCACCAGCGAGAGCCACGTTCACTCCCTACTCAGCATGTTCCGCTATGGGGGACTTCTGAATGTATGTTTTTTTCATGATGTAGTTTTTCTGTCGGTCTCCTGATGTTATTTGATAGTGACAGGACAATCTGTTGGGTTACTGCTTTGAAAGTTTCATAGGTTGCAGGACTAACTTAGATGTCCATGCTTGTTTTGATTAGTCTAAATAGATTCATGGGTTTGTTCATTTATAAGGAGGAGAAGGACCAGCAATGGAAACAGGCAATGGACTACCTAAGCGCTGTAAACGAACTCAACTACATGACGCAGATAGTCATCATGCTGTATGAGGACAATAACAAGGTCGGCTTCACTTATTCAGGCCGTGACAGCTTCCTTTACCAGTTTACTGATTCCCTCAAAGACTCACTCTCATGTTTGTGTGTGTCTGTGTGCCGATCAGGACCCATCCTCAGAGGAGCGTTTCCATGTAGAGCTTCACTTTAGTCCAGGCGTCAAAGGGTGTGAAGATGAAGAGAATGTGCCTCTTGGCTTTGGATTCCGCCCCGCTTCATCAGAGGTGTGTGGATGTTCTTGATGGTTTGGAAGTACTTTTTTCTGATGAGAAGACATACGATAGTATAGAAATCGCCATGCACCTGCACTCGAATATTCATCGTTCCATGCCATCTGATAAAACGATCAAGCCCAGCTCTCACTCTGCTGCAACTCTTCTTTTATGGTGCATTAGTCGTTTTTTTTTTTTCATCCTCCTGAAACATACTCATAAAATGGAGTATTCTTGTTAACCAAGAGCTAAGAAGGGTGACCTGATCCTTTATAAAATGTTATTTTTTCCTTTTTTACATCATCCTTTATGACCAATCAGAATGAAGACAAAAAAACTGATCAGGGCAGTCTGGAGGACCTTTCTCAGGACCAGACAGATGACGCACTTCCTGTTTCAGAGGCAATAAACATTCAGAGAAGATCGCCCATGATTCGCAATCGCAAGACAGGCTCCATGGAGGTACCACACAGTGTCTTAGGAACAGGCTAACGTAATGATTCTTTTTCTTTAGAGTTTAGTGTTTCACTGTCCTTTTTAAGATGAGTTCATCTTTGTGTTTCTTTAATGTCGCCTATGGAATAGTTTTATTTTAACTGAATGCTAAACACCGGGTCCCGATTTACTGTGGCAACCATGTCGTCTTAACCCCTGGTCTCCATGGCCCTTGTCAGGTCCTCTCTGAGACCTCCCCTACCCATTCCTCCAAAGGATGCACCACCCATAGACTCTTCCATTCGTGTTCCCGTCAATCCCCAGAGATCAAACCAGCCGGTGGCCTAGGTGCGTATCTAATTTTTTTATGTGTAAGGGAGAGGGGGGTGTTTGTCCCTTTACTCATGTGCATTATGATTGTGTTTATGGCTATAGACACACTTCACATCTGTTTTTATTTGTTCTCATCTCAAGCCCCAGCTGTATTTTTTTCTTCACTCTTTTACCTTTCCACATCTCTTTAAATCAACCTCTTCAGTTCTTTGTGTATGCTGCTTTCCGCCTCTTTGCATCCCCATCCCTCCTCTTTCTGATGGGCACATAGTTTCCAACTCGGCTTAGCTTTAGAGCGAACAGGATCAGACTCCAAACTATTCAGGCAAGAGGTCAGTAGGGAGGAGTTGCGTTCGCTGCAGGATTTCTGGTGTCACATGGTGCTCACTGACACAGCGATATTCCCTCTGGGTGCTAAGGTGACCACATAAGGGACCTGCTATAGGTGCACCTCATTCACGTTTAGGGGAAGTCGTACAGGACATTAGTTATTGAGTACTAACGTAGGTTCCGCTGGTTATCCAAGTACAATTTTCTAAAGTTGGCTCAAAGGTCAGAAATAAACGTGGAACAGTAAGATTATAGGTTTAACATTTTTCATTCTGATCGCTTCATTTATTTTCTTTTAGAGCAGATGGGACTGTTTTTTGTGTAAACACAGGCGATGTTCCGAACATTTCACTTCCATTGCCTTTGTTTGATGCTAAAAACCAAGAACAAAGGCAAAACATTACAGATCATACATTTAGAATGATTTGATGTGACATGTTTGGTTTGGACAGACACAAACAGCTTCTCACAGAATAGACCCTGCCTGTTGTTTCCATCAGAGATATATCCACAAAGAAAGGATAACTGTAGACAACATGGCTTTTCTTTGTCTTTATCAGCAGCTGCATGCTGTTGTACATGTTCCGCAGTCTGACAAACTTCTTTTCCCGTTTAACAACATTTAACAACCTTAAACACAATTAAATGAGTAATATATCCCTTGCTCTTCCAAATGAGGATGCTTTTGACTCATCAAATGGTTTGTTTTGTTTGTATTTTTATTTCTTTCCTGTTCTTTTCTTAATTGCCACTCTGTCTTTACAAAAGTCAAAGAAGCCATTAAGGAATCTTGTACAGTCTATATGAAAATGTAACTTCTAAGAACCCACTCACAAGCCTGAAGGACTGCTTTCTTAATCAAGGCATGAGAAGAAAAACTGTGACAGCAGAGAGTGGGATCAGCTTTTTGAGTTTATACAACATTTAGCATTTTTATGATTTAAAACTCAATACACCCTTTTGAAAAGCTCAGATTCCTAAAATATTTCAAGGAAAGCTAAATCTCTTGTAGGTTAATTAAGCTATGTGTATGATTTTAACCACTCCATTGCAGTTTTAAGAGATATTGTCGTATTAAATTACTCCTATCAATTTATCTGCTGCTGTTTGCGCAATCAGAAGCTACAATTCAATAATGAGATGTGTGAAGTGAACTGACCCCCAGGTATGTCTATGAAAAGAAAGTATTAGCTCATTATTAATGTAATGTCACTCCTATAATCACGTTACTGAGAGTTTTATTGTCACACTTCTAATGCAGCCCATGGCATCAGATGAGTTCTGTATATAGTCCTTCTTTAGTCTCTGAGTACAGCCTGTCAGTTTGTTATGTTAACTAAGTCTGGGGCTGCTGAGTGATCCTCTGTTCAGTGGCAGCAGCCTCTGTCAGCACGCTGGACGTCATACCTATGGCCTGTTTTTAGAGCCCAGTTGTAAACACAACACTGTAATCTCTACGATTCCTGTCACACTTTGGAATTCAAAAGAGAAGCCCTTCTATCCTTGTGGCCTATAAAGTTTCTCCCCCCTTTGAGGCTTCTGTGTGCATTGTGCTGCACGGCTGTTGTTACCCTTATTTACATGTGCATGTATGGAGGTCATGCAATTGCCGTTGGAAAAATAGCTTATAGCTTGCACACAGGTCTTTCCAGTAATGTTTCCACGGTGTGAACCTAAAAATACTCACCACTCACACTTCCATCCCTCCTACCTGCACTCCCCTGCCCACCCCCACCCCCTTCACACAGGCTCACTCTGCTCTGGCCTCTTCAGTGCCTCTGCCCTCGGTGTGTCCTGTAGCGCCCCCAACCTGCGGGACTACGTCCGCACACACCACCACCACCGAAAGCCACCTCTGTCCCCCGGCAGTCTGCCATGCAAGATTGGCATGTTTGGTATGTTCACCGTGGTGTCTGTCCTCTTCCGTGGGGCGGGTGTTCGAATCTCCACCCTTGAAAAAAAAAAAAAGACACAAATCTTCAGCTCTGCAAGCTCCTTTTTTCCCTGGACTTTGTTTACCTTCTTCTTTTCCCTCTCACACCTTAAAATCTTTCAAACTTCTGGGAATTTCTTCCCTCACTTTCCCGGAACAATCCAGCAGCTTCAAAACGTTGCGTCAGATCTCTTGAGGGGTTCACGTGTGGCTGCGAGCAATGACGGCACTGATTTGACAGCAGAGTTATTGGCTGTGTCGCTACAGCATGCTTGCATGTGTTGGAAATGTGTGACGTTTGATTCTTTCCCACATAAAACACAATCATGTCCCTGTCAGCTTGGGTTCAAATGTGTGGACAAGTTCCCTCTCTGTGCATGTTTTGGTTTTGTTCTGCAACAGATCTTTGAAAGGAATTTCATAATCAGCACTAATCTTTGTTTTTTTCTTTGTATTAATCACAATTTGTAGTAATCCTTACATAAGAAAACTCAGCCTGTTAGTTGGAACAATATCCAGTAATCCATTTTAAAATAATCCCCAAATTTACTTCCTGTTCAGCTTTTTTTCCCCACTCATGCTGAACTGTTTCACATTCACCATGAGTCCTCACAGCAGGTTTATTTTCCAAAGATAGATGTCCTCGGGTTAACAGGGAATATGTTTTTTTTCTTTTGAAGTAAGTATTTGCAAATTGATCAGCAGAGCAGCTGGGATCTTCTTTTTTTCTTCTCCAGCAAATTTTTTTACACATGATTCTGAGCTACTTAGTTTGTCCACTGGGTGTCGCACTTACTGCAAAGGCCGCACTCAGGCAGTGACAAAGGGGTTCTTTCCTCTCAGTTCGCTTACATCATGTTACGTGCTGCTGCCCTGAGAAACAGGTGAGGGTTTGGACTGACGTCAGGGCTATTCACTTAAAGAGAGATGGCAACATTAGCACCAAGAATTAGCTTTTTGTTGCTGGACAGGTGATAATAATACAAATCAGACTGGGGATGACCTGCAGTGCTGGTGGTAAGTGGTAAGTTTTGAAGAGCAAATTGAATTGGCCTTCTTTGCCACATGAGAGTTGTGTGTTTGCTGTTATGCCAAATATTTATATTCATACATATATTTTGTTGCCTGCAACTTCCCCTGAACTACTTCAATGCAGCTCCAGTCAATACTTTGTGTGTTGCTATTGTTTCTGCAAGGCTCCTCTCCAAATTAAACCTCAAAACAATGGTGACTCGACAAAGCAATGCCCTTCAGCTCCTCAAAACCTTTGAGAATCTCTCCGCTCTGGGTTTTGGTCTTTACGACTTGCCGCACACAGGTGTGGTGTTAATGAAAAAGAAAAAAAAGGCGTGCGAGAAGAGATGGAAAACTTTTGGAAAGGTTATAAACATAACTTGGATTTTGTTGGGTATGTTGTATGGTGTCAGATAAAGCTAAAAGCAGGCCCACTGTTCACAATTGATTGTGGAATCTTAAAAATAATCAAGTTGTTTTTCACCGTTTAACAGTTGACAAACAGATAGAGCCCAGAACCTTTTTAATTATGTCATTGCATCGCGTTCTTCAGACAGAAATGTTCTATCCCACATATTTCTTGGGAAGGACTCCACCCCCTAACATTTCATAGCTGTGGCAGGCTTTAGAAACTACAGGTTATAAATTTTAGAAAGGTATACTTGTTTTTTTCTCCAAAATTGCTTAACCATTACCAGAAGGCCTGGGTCAAGGTCCATGTATTTGGTGGGCCATGTGATAAGGCAAGTCTTTGACTTTCTTGAAGATTAGATTAGACTATATTACCTTTAGTTGTTAGAGTGGGACAATGTAAATTAAGAACATTTCATAAGTAAAATGGAACTGTACCCCATTGTACCCAAAAGGCTTATTTTCATAGGCGGTCCCCCTGCCAGAAGGAGCAGGGCAATGTGACCTAGTAGCAGTAAATTAAAAAGAATTAAGAATATAAAATATACGTATATGTACAATATTTAACCCCAGAATAACAGTCAAACCATGTACTAAAGGGGATTCAGGAACTTGTGTTAACAAATGTGGTCAGTTAGAAATTTGCTATGAGCTCTATGAAATGAAAGCCTCCATTGAAGAGAAAAGGCCGGCTATCTTTAGGTTTTACCAGAAAATAAAATGCAAATGTTTATATTGTTTTAGCCTAAATTTTCTTCAGGTAACTGGTTCCCCCTGTAAAGCTACTAGTACAGATACTTCCCTCTGTCAGTCAAGCCACGTCCCTACCTTTCCACTTGTGTCCGTAAGTTGCTGACTCACTTGCAGCACAACATTGCTAATATCTTAGTGGCTTTTTTCCATTGAGGAGGGCCATCCGAACAGTCCTGCAAAGGTTAACACTTAGCTTCCTCTCATCACCGCTGATCACAGCTGTGAGTTAAACTGTGAGATTAGATTATATGAGGGTACTTTATGGATCTTTCATTGGGGAAATTTACATATTACAGCAGCAGTGCAAAAAATACACAAGGCCAGAAAGAGAAAAACACTCAAAAAAATGTTACAAAAGTGTAGTAAACACTATAGAACACTAAAAAGAGGTAGACATGTAGCTGCTATAACAGGTGACCACTCATGCGGTGCCATCTTGGAATGATTTTCTTACAGGATGTTTGCCTTTAAGTTATCCTTCTGTTTTGAGTAAAATTTACAACAACATAAAAACACAGAGAGAGCCATCTAAAGGGTGTGTGCATTGACTGTGGTTCCTAGTCCGGTTTGACCCACACCAATGCTGAGATTGCGAAGAGGAAATATGTCAACAGCTAAAGTACCTCAAGCAGAAGCTGCATGTTATTTTGTATACCTACCAGACTTTAGGCTAAGGAAAATAGAAGATTGAAAACATGTGACAAGAAAGAGAAGGCAGAACAAATTCATAAAACGGCTTCTTTCAAGGATAAATGGCCTTCACACCAAGACTTAAGGTCTCAGCTCCAACTCCTGTACTGAAATCCAATGGATAAACTCCAGAGCCTCTTTTCTCCGATTGCTTAATTATGTTCAGTGATGACCTTCATTTTCTGTCACAATAGTAGGCAAGAAAACACTGATGACACGACAGGCCCTATGTTTCTTTTTTGTTTTTCCCTCTCCCTCTTTTTTTGTCCTCTTAAAACACAAACAGGCTACCAGGCTGACACCCGCAGCCCCAGTAATACCAGTTACCTTTCTTATCTCCTCAGACCTGTTCTCTATGCTGGCAGTAAAGAGATTTTCTGTGTCGTTTGCCAGGCATCCGACCAATGGTATGTCTGCTTTCATTCAAGTATTTTTTCGACAATCCTCAAGTTTCCCTATTATCTTGCATGACCCTTTTGTGGGAAAACATCTCCTATGTTTTCTATTTTGGGGGGTTTGACATTTGACTGCGATAATTACATGAAATTGCTCCAATTTTGTTTCTTTTTTGTTAATTTTTCCCCAACAGTTTCTGTTTCACCACACACCCTCGGTGTTTGTTGTCCCTTGTCTTGTTGTTTTGGGCCCTCACCGCTAACACCAACTGCTCTGCCTGCACATGTTTAATTTGCATTTCTTATCCAGCTGTTTCTTCACAGGACTTGTCTCATATGGAGTGTATCTCCTTCCTCAGATATATTTCCATTGATAGATGATCACACATTATAACGTATCCTCACTTGGACTTTTTTGTTCATTTTGAATAACATATTTAATTTTTCTGTTTTGACCAAAATTTATATTGTTCGTTTTTATGGTGACCGCTCCGAATGGTTCTCCACATCGTCTGTGCAGGGTTTAGGAATTAAGCCTCGAGAGCAGCCAAAATTTTAAGCTGCTCTTTGATCTGAATGTGAGGCGCATGCAGAAATGATAAAGGGAGTGCTTTCATAGTTTCAGACAGGATCATATACATGGATTTTATTTCTCAGATTAGATTTTTAATACCTTTACAAACTTCCAGGCAGGGATTTTTTGTAAGGATCTTTTTGCCAAATTGGTCATTGTTTTTTGTGTTTTGTGTGCTGCTGTGTGTTGTCATGACACAATCTGTGTGTATGTTTTGATTAATTCTTTCTTTCAGTTTTGGGTTTATTTGTGCCAGCAGGTGAAAGGCGGGCAATCTTTTACTGATTTTCCGTAATTGCGCTTATGCCCTGTGCATGGATTAATTAAAAAATCTAATTTTTAAGCCGCTACATGAAAATGTGTAAACACTTTTAGATTTCTTTTGATTACACTTTTCAATTATTTTGGAACAAAGAATAGTAAATGTTTTAATCTACTGCCTATAAACAGATTGTTCATATAGTTACAATGGTTTCAGGTTACATTTCTCGATGCTTCAATTGTCTGATTGTTACCTGTATTATTCTCCTATATATATATATATATATATATATATGGGTCTGCTTAATATTTAACAATATTGTGCACTATAGGTGTAGAAAGACCAAAGTTCTTGACCATCCTGCATTGAAATACATTTTATTAGAGCATATTGATAATCTTCTTACTACTAGTTTTAGCAAAGAGTGGAGAGTTATGACCACGCTTCCATGGAAAATGTAAGTCTTTGGTGTATGTTCCTTTTATACCCAATCTTATTATTCAACACATTGCATAATGTTCAAGAAGTATATCACTGGTATTAATATAAACTGCTTTTTGGCATATTTAACTAGTTTTTTTTGTTTTCAGAGGGTTCCTTGAAAAAGAATTATAATTTTTTTACATAGACACTGAAAAGACTGAAAATAATATCTCTCCGCTTGTATCAGTTGAGTAATTGTTTAAACGACACACATCTCTCCATTCTGTCTAATCTGTCTATATAACATTCTGTCCATATTCGGTCTATATAATGGTAATCTGATAAATCATAGATTTATACAATTATAAAGAAATAGAAACACACCTAATTCAAATCCTAAAGGTTGATGTGTAAGTGGCTTGCCATGTTGCACTGATGGGTGTTGCCATAAATGTCACTGTAATAACCTTTTAGTACTAACATACAAATGTCAAGCAACACGACTGAACAAAAGCTCAGGTTTTCCAAAATTTTATAAACGTTTTTCTATGTGTAAAGGCTGGAGTTGTGTTGCCCTGTTGTGGTTTAATCTTATGCGTCTGACTCATTTAGCCTTTATGCTAATTCATATTTGATTACATGTGCTTTGGTTTACACCTTCAGAAAATGTATCTTAAAATTTAAAACTGTTCCAAATAACCAAGGAGAGGTTGTTTCTTATTAAAAGGTTGAAGGATCTATTATTTTTAAGGACAAACAAGAAATCCACAGCAGTTATACTGTTTTTTCCTGTAATCATTAGAATAATATAATGTGAAAAAAGTACACTAATATCTCTGCTAAAAGTTGGTAATCGAGCTTGGTTGGAAAATACTGCTTTGGTGCTCAAGACCAAAGTAAATAGTTACTCGAAAAAAACGTTCATCTGGTTGAGAGATGTCCCAGCAGGCTTTTGAGAGTCATTGATGTGGTGTTTGAGAAGTATTATTAATAGCTGAAAGCCCCTTTGGGTTATTTTGTGAAGTAGGGTGTAGCTTGCTGTTTTTTATTCTGTGTCTATGTATACAGTTATATTTTAAGTGTTCCCTCTTACCTAATTTTACCTCTGGACATCTTTTTGAAAAAACAAACAAATGACATTTAGTTAGGATTTAGATATTTTGTGTACAGCTGAAGCACGGTTGGTAGACTTCGGTTGATGAATGGATGGCCTGTATTGATCAAATGAATGCAGCAACTAAAATTAAGGTCAACTAAAAGAAAAAAAAATCATGGTAAGATGCACTGCTCTTTAGCTCTCTGCCTCTATGCAGCACAGCTCCTGTCACTCCTCCCATTGCTCCTACTTCTCTTCTCCTTCCCTTCGTGCTCTACCTCTCGTCCCCTCAGATGAACTCCCTGAGTTAGCACTGCTTGGGTTAACCCCTCTCTCTGTGGATGGAGCCATGGCCCATCACCTGCACCACTGTCCATACCACCTTCACCTCCTCAGGACCTGGCTGATGTGTGGTCAGGAGCTCCCAAAATCTCTCCACGGTCAGCCTCTGTAGCCCCCCTCTGTGTCTTGCTGCCATCTCTTCTTCAGTCTTGGCCCTTTTATCTGACAAAGTGGGAAAGCAGGATGCTGTTGGGCTTTGCATTGACTCTTGTTTAGTACTTTGTTTCTATCTGAGTTAACTGTCAGCATTTTATTGTCTTGATTTTTTGAAAACTTCTGCCTCTTGATTTCATCTGCCGCTCTGCAATCGTGCTTCATTTCATATCCACTAATGAAGAAGCCTGCATGTTTGCTAGAGCATGCAACATGGTCTTCTTCTGCATATTCAAAGTCATATTGAAACAGCAGTTACTTTTGTGTCCTATACTGCATCATTCTGCTGTGATTAAATCATTCAAAACTTGCCATGGCATAAGCCTTTGGACATCTTGGAACACAACTCCATCTACAGGGATAGATGAGTCATCACCATGATTTTTCTGAAAGTTTCTACTCTCAGCGGTGTTGTAAGAATCTACATGATTAATTTGACTATTTAGATAGATATTTGCTCATTTATAGTAAATACTACTTTTTTTAAAAAGACAATTAAAGGATATGAACCATCCACTTTAGGGGCATTGACACTTAAACTCATTCTGTTATTTTGTTTCATTTTTTATACAAAAAAGGAAAAAATTGTTTTGTTTTTTTTATTTCATCCTTGGGCATGCCCTCTTAAAAAAGAAAAATAAAAAAAAATAGGGAACTGTATTTTTTTTTTTTAATTAAGTGGTGGAATGAGTCTGCACATGTAGGTCAAATTTTACTACATGCATGCTGGTGGAATAAACTTTTAAGTAGCTGCAACCCTTATCTTGAGGCTTTATTGAATGCATAGTGTGCATGTTGCAGCCAAAGAGGTGGATGCTGAAAGAATGCTTTTAAAACTGAGAATTTGCTCTGGAGAGATGTCTAATTTTTAGACAGGTACCTGCTGTTAATATTAGGAATTTATCCCCTCACATTGTGAGGTCACAACTGTTCTGCACTTTTTTTCTTTCAGTATTTACTGAATATGCCTTCTGGCCACGTGGCATCTGTTGAACAATGGCAGCTACTACCATTCTTTGCTGATTTTAATAAGCCAATTAAGAGTCGGTCTCTCTATAATCTGATGATATTTTAAAACTTTTCCAGTACATTGCACCATATAACTGGTCTTTGTTGTACAGTAATTTCTTACCTGATATATAGATGTTGTACTTTTATATTATAACTTTTAGATTTTAAACAAGGTTTTAAAAAGTATATTTTTCCAGATGTCCGGACAGGGTCTCATCTACCACGGCGTTACCTTCTCCTGTCAATTTTTCTCAATTATTTAGCTACTGTCAAGACTAGCCAGTGCTTTCCGTTCAACTGTAAAAGTATCATATGAACATAACATTTGTCCTTTTGAAATTCTCAAGTTTTTTCTGTAAATAGCTATGGGGGGAAAAAACTAAAGTAAGATAAGCCTGAATGGTTCAAGTCAAAGTAAATGGATGAGGTGAAAATTTCAGCCCATATGTGTGTGTGTAGGTGTGATTGTGTGTGTCTTTTGGGGTGGGGGAGGGGGATAACAAAAACCATATCTATTCACATAAACTCCTCTTATGAGACCTCTGAGCTTTGGTCGGATAGCTTAGAAACAGTAAATGATCAGAACTGGAGAAACAAATTGTCACACAATCGATTAGGAGTTAAGTGAAAAGCCATCCTCTGGATTTTGAATGACATGAACACCAATTTTAAATCATCAGACGTTTAATACCATCATTTACTGTACTGTACTTGATGCAAACCACTTAACAACACCTCAGCAACAATAGCAGCAATAACAGTTTCCTGGTGTGCAATAAGAATTTAAGCAATCAAGTGCCATACCTCATATATTGTGTTGTTTGGTAACTGAAAGGTGTTTATCTAGCTCTTGCCTCTTTCTTTTTTCTAAAGGGAAATATATCTTATGTTGAACCAAAGTCCTTTCAGCTGATTTTCTTTTTTTGCGGCACTATTTATTAATGAATTTGTTTCTTTTCATCCAGCTGATGATACACCTTCTTTCTTAGTGGATAACGGTTATTTTTCTCTAGCTCCAACTACATGTTAACTTTGATTTGTGGAAATCACGTCAAACTCCATGCTTTCAGAGCATGCCTGACATTATCGTCAATGTAGCAGAGTTAAGATATTTTGCGGTTTGAATTGCTGTGATTTGATTAATAAGCAACTACCAAGAGTATGAAACTTTCCCCAAATAATCAGTATCTCTAATTTTTGCTCATGTGGTTTCACTAACCAAGTTAGCAACCTGACTCTTACTGGAAAACATCAACTAGTCGGAAAAGTAACTATTTCTCCTGGTTGAAGCTGAACAGGATGTAGAATCTCTCAGCTGCTGTGGAAGGTAACCATTCGCCAAATGTTTATCCTCCGGTTGCCTAACATTTTGTGTGGAGAGTTAACAAATCAGTAATGGCTGCCAGTTTTTGCCCTGTCTGGAGTTGAAAAACTGAGCTGATTCGTGGAGTAAAAACAACATGCACAGAGAGTGGAAGTGTCCCCACTCCTTCTCCATTTGGTGACATGGTACGATCGGCTTTTTCTCTGTGTCCCGTCTGGATTGCAGGTTTCGAAGGCTGCTCCATGGTGCCTTCCATCTACCCACTGGAGACGCTGCACAACTCGCTCTCCCTGAAACAGGTGGAGGAGTTCCTCAAGTCGGTGTGCGAAAGCAGCAGTGAGGCCCACGCCAAAACCATGAGAGGTAGCTTGTAGTGACAACCAGGTTGTAGACGTTCACCAATGCACATGAATGCAACAAATTCTGTTGCATTTGAGTGCAACGGAGTTTTACTATCTAAAGCTCCAGTTGTCGGTTACATCTATGTAAAAGTTTAGTTAAATCAGGCTACCTATAATTGGTGTTTGAGGCATTTCTCGATGTCTGTGACCTTATATTTACTTTGATTAAGGTGGAAGGGACAACAGTTTGAAATGTATATGGCAGCAAAATATGATGCATATTTTTGCATCAACATTTGCACACAATTGCTAATGGTGAGAACCAGTAGAGATGAACTTTGAATAGATTTAATCAACATTTTCCGATTACAACGGACAATAAAAATGGCAACATTTTATCAGTAAAACAACTCTCCCGATATGTTTTTGTTTTCATTCTAAATTTGGATATAAAGTGCATTTGGTTTGGTTCCAGTTGTCTTATTTGCATGCATTCTATGTATCTAACTACCAGTTAAGTAAATGTTTGGGATACTATCAGAGAAAAAGTAGCATTTTTACCAGTTTTATTATTTTGACAGATTATTTAAACCCATCGTCTTCCCTGTAGCAGGTTATGTAATCAGTAGAATTTAACATGGTGATTTGAAGAAAGCTGTGACATAATTTTTTATGGTTCATCATATCTCACTAACCTCTAGAAATAGGGAGGGGGTATAGAAAGCCAATCAGCTTTGGTATGCAGAGAATAATTTATAGAAACATACGTGCTTCTCCTTTCTGTTCCAGCTCTCTCTGGTTTGTTTGACTCTCAGAGCCAAACATCTCTGTACAGCCCACTGCAGCCCCTGTCCTCCTCTGGATCTGAGGCATCTCTCCGCCCACCAAGCCAGCCTCTGTGGCGTAAGTGTTAAAGTATTTTTTTATTTCTTTTTTTTTTCATAAAGTCAACTGACTAGGAGTTTTTTATTTTATTTTAGAAACTGTACATGAATGTGAAAAACGCAGATTTTAAATCTCTGTCGCTTCAGAATTCCAGCTGCTTAAATTACTGGCATAGAATATTTTTGATAGTGCCGCACACTGATTAACAACTTCCAAACCTCACTTGAAAGAATGCTTTGAATGCTCAGCTGCTTTGTAGCCGCACCTAGCAGCCCCCAGATGTGAGGACGAGTTCCCCTTTGAGGAAAAAGGAAAATGAGAAGCTGATAAACTGGGTGCGGTCTCCTGTTAAAGTGTGGTCTTCGCATAGGTGGTAGCAAATCTTTGGAATACATCAGGCACCCTTTTGCCAGCGGGGTTCCTTGATGATAAGTTGCCTATTTTTAGCTCAGCCAAAAACTGAATACTACTTTAAGTTTCTTTGACAATGTGTGTCTCTCGCTCCAAAGTTGTGAATCTTTCCCCGTCGATCCATTTCACCGTTTTAACAAGACACACAAAAGTTACACACCAAAGTTACATTACAGCAAACGCGATGAAACATAAAGATCCCAAAACTTTCAGATGAGCTAAATAAGAGCAAAGAGTAAATGTGTGGCAGAGCTCTCTGTGGGAGCAACATTAGGGATAAAGCTGTGGTTAAATAGGGTTTGGGAAGAACATCACAGCCACTTTAACAATCCAGTCTATCCCTTCCAGTGTTGTCATCCTCCTTTAGATTGTTATTTTTCTTCATATTGAAATGATGTTAAGAAATTGGATTTATATTTTTCTCCTGTGGTAATCCCTTTTGTGTTGTCTTCTGTCCACCACCAGGCTTTTCCCCCCTCTACATTCAGGGCTCTCTCCAGATGATTTTGTTCCTCGTCCTCTTTCTTTTTCCGTTGGTACCTGCTCCACATCCGGAGCGCAGCACCCACTTAGCCTGATTTACCACAGTGTACTGGAGGAGGAAGTGCTCACTTTAGTTCAAATTGGTCTGAAATGTTGACTAATGATCTTCGGTTACGATTTACATTAGAGTCACACACCAAATTTCTCCATGACAACAAATGATGAAATTGCCTGTTTATTTATGACCACTCCCTAATTTGTGCGCGTTCTGCCCACATGACGCACTTACAACAATAAATGGTGCATGAGTCAACTGGTATTGCGGCTCAGTTTGGAAAGTTGTGATTCATTTTTCCCTCAGGGTTGGAAATCTTTTTAAACTGGTTGCACAGATTAGACAGTGAACTGAAGGAATAAATGAATGAGTTCTGTGTGTTTTTTGTTTGTTTTTCTGTTCAGATGGCAGCATCCCCTCCAGTGCTGTGTCCAGTGCTGGCCCCTCGTCTCCAACCACAGAGACCGGAGGTCTGAACTTCAGCTTTGGCGAGTAGGCTGTCTGTCTGAAAACACAGGACTTCTGAGGATCTAAAGCATTATGTGGAGACTTTGGTTTGTCTGTCCCTGTGCGGTTATTCATCTCATCCCCTCAGCTGCCTGCTCACAGTCAATGTTGCCCTCGAAGGAGATGTTGGCTATACAAGCGGCCAATGCTCTGCGTGGGGTAATGAACTCAGATTCTAACGTGTTCACGCACTCCTCTGGTGCCCACCAAATACACAGCTCTTCTCTTCCTGTTGTGGTACCTCCAGATCTCAAACCTGCTTCAATTTTTGGACACATTCATTCACCATATTGGACGCACCATCTCATAAAGCCACAATGAAAGCCAGATTAACCTTTTTGTTTAGGTGCGCCCACCATTAAATGAACAAGTGCCTCGTTTTTCCTCCCCATTTGTTTTATCACTTTTTCAGTCTCTGTCTTTTGAAATATCTTTTTTTTTTAATCAAATGTAATTAAATCATCACTGTGACTGTTGTTTCAGCAGCATATGTGCACACACAGCTTGTTCACATTGAGAGCTGACAAACAATCAATACCACTTTTGTGTGTGACATCCTAGCAGAGCATTAAGGCTGGAAACTGGGAAACTGCTTACCAAGCCAAAAAAAAAGACAAATCATCAATTTTCACTTCTCATTTGTTTAACATTTTGTAAAGATGGGTGCCTGAACTAAGATATGTTTTTTGTTAGCAGCAAATAAAGGATAAACAAAGTTTTTTGCTATGTTGAATTTGACAGAGCCAGTTTAGCGGTTTCCCCCATTTTCCAGTTTGCTAGACAAAGGCAAGATTTTAGATTGTAACTAAAGAGACTAAGTAACATTTTTATTTTGAATCCATGTTAATGTTACTACAAAACAAATGCCTGGATGATGAGATGAATTCTGCTTTAAAAGCTGTCAAATTAAACCTTTTGGGCACAGTCTAATCACTGAATTCATCCTTATCTCCTAACTAAACCAGCTGCGGCCTAAAAATTGTATGAAAATTTTTTTTTGCTTGACACCTACTAAATGCCGTGGAACTCTGGACCAGCTCTATACCCTCAGCGGGGTCCTGGACGGTGCATGGGAGTTCGCCCAAACCGTCCACATGTGTTTTGTGGACTTGGAGAAGGCGTCCGACCGTGTCCTTTGGGGAATCCTGTGGGGGAGTGGTTCGGGAGTATGGGGTGTACCAGGCTCATTGTTACGGGTGTTAGGTCCCTGTACGACCGGAGTCAGAGCTTTGTACGCATCGCCGGTAGTAAGTCGAACCTGTTTCCGGTGGGAGTTGGATTCCGCCAAGGTTGCCCTATGTCTCCGGTTCTGTTCATAACTTTTATGGACAGAATTTCTAGGCGCAGCCAGGGTGTTGAAGGTGTCCGTCTTGGTGGCCTTAGGATTGCATCTTTGCTTTTTGCAATGATGTGGTCCTATTGGCTTCATCAAGTCGTCTACACTCTACAGCTCTCGTTGGAGCGGTTCGCAGCCGAGGGCGAAGCGGCTGGGATGATGATCAGTGCCTCCTAGTCTGAGACTATGGTCTCTCATGGGATAAGGGTAGAGTGCCTCCTTCGGGTCGTAGAAGATGTCCTTCCCCAAGTGGAGGAGTTCAAGTATCTTGGGGTCTTATTCACGAATGGGGGTAGGGAGCGGGAGATTGACAGGCGGTAGATGCGGTGTTGGCAGTAATGCGGGCGCTGTACCGGTCTGTCGTGATGAAGAGAGAGCTGACCTTAAAAGCAAAGCTCTCGTTTTTATTGGTCAATCTACCACTGGGAGGAGGCCCAGAGGAAGACCCAGGACACGTTGAAGGGACTTTGTGTCTCGGCTGGCCTGGGAATGCCTTGGGATCCCCCCGATGGAGGTGCCAGAAGTGGCCGGGGAGAGGGAAGTCTGGGTTTCCCTGCTTCGGCTGCTGCCCTCACGACCCGACTCCGGACAATGGATAGATGGACCTACTAAATTCACTTGCTGATCATATTTCTCTTGTTTTGTGTCATTCATACAAAAAGAAACAGCTCCGTTTACCTGTGTTTTACATTAGCAGGGTTAAAAGCCAGACTGATATAACTGTATTACTGTTTTCTAAATATGCCTTCTTGTTGATTGGAACAGAAATGTATCCGTATATGTGCCTTAAAACAGTCTGAGATTTGAAAATCAAGTTAGATTTTTAAGGAAATCTTTAGCATAGTGTTATTTTTTAAATAGAAGGTGGAAACCACTTGATTGGGTAAATGAGCTGGTGATCAGTAGTCTCAATTGAGGCTGTGTCTGTCTGCTGTCTGCCGTATAACGCCAAATGATGCCATGTTTTGTTATGTTCAAAATGATTATTGTTCATCATTAATGCTCAGGTAGATGGTAAACCTATAGTTTATTTTTGGTTTAATCAGCTGAAGTGGAGGTCAGTTCAATTTCAGTTCTTCTTTGTTGTAAAGTTGCTTAAGAGGGAGCTGTGAAGCTGCGTCAGGCCCTCTAAACACTGTTGATATGGCCATGTCAACCACATTTTTAAAGTTTTCATCCGTTTTCACGTGCTAAACAGTTAGTGAGCGCAACTCTGACCTGACACCTCCGTTATTGCTGACGCTCATGCAGTTAGACTAAAGGTCCAACGTGTATCCGCCCTCTCGCTTCCAATAAAGAACAAGGGATGATATCACTGAGCAGGTTTACAAAGCCCAGAATGGGGGAAGTGGCTTAAAAAGATTTTTCTTTTCATTTCCACAACGCAAAGAATAAGTCAATGAATGTGTTTGACCAAAATTTCTTTTCAGTGTGATTACAAACTAAGGCGGCTTGAATCACCATTGAATGTTTACAGTCAACTACACTCTGTCCATCTGGCTTTTTACATCTTTTTGTCCAATTCCCAAAGATAAAGCTGATCTCATCCACATTTTTCTTTATCTAGAAATATTCCAGAAACGGTGACTACCATTTTGCCCCTGTTAACTCTGCTCTATTAATGTACCAATTTGATCACTTTTGTTACCAGTATCATCTGATAAAATCGCCATTCAGGCATCTGTCCAGTGATTTCGGAGCGTGAGAAACCGCAGAATGCCGTTGTTTTTTTTAACTCTGAGAAACTCTGACCAAAGTTAGACATGAATTCAGGCAGTTCTGCCTTCAGCCCCAGAACGCAAATTTTAAGAATCAATGTTTCAAATCAGAAAAACTGAATTTGAACTGACCTCCAACACATGATACTGTCTGCTGTAGATCACATTTTTACTATTTTTGTCATTTTCAAGAGAGATCTAGTTTTCCATGTTCAGTAGGACATGTCCGTTTATACATGAATATGGGTCAATATAGGTAATTTAGGCAATTTTTATTTATGTCATAATTTAATATGCCGTTTAACGATAGCCAAAGAGACACATGCACCATGTTATGAGTCTGGCTTTAGGAAAACGAGGTCAGACTGTAAATGTGTAAAACTTCTCTCTTACTCAGTCTCTTGAGGATCAGGCTGGAGCTGGGATGTTTGAAAGAAGAGGCGTGTTAATAAAAAGCTACATATAAACAGTGAAAGCATGGTTTACTGTGTCATTAAGCTCAACAGACCACACGTTCACACCTGCCTCAGACCTGTGAAAGGCTGAGCTTTAGACGAAGCCACCCTCAGTCCAGACACATTAGCCTGTTATTGCACCATAAACAAAGCTGCTTTGTCACTGGTCCAACCCATACCGCTCGCTCTATTTGTATTTTCATCCTTTGTTTCAGTTTGTCCTTGTTTCCCATCTACCTTTACCTAATTTTCCCTATGTGTCCTCTCTATTTTCTCCACTTTATCTCCTCACACTGTGATCCACCTTCCTCTCGGATACATGTGCCTCCCTTTCTCTCTCTCTGCAGCTTATTTCTTAAGCTTTGCACATCACCATCGTTTCTTCTCCCTTCTTTTCTATCCTTTTGTAAATTTTGTCATTGTAAATCACCCCAATTACCTCATCCCTGCTCCTCCTCTTTCCTCCCCACCTCTGCTTCGCGCTCCATCTCTGCTCCATTTTAAAACCTTTCAACAATAGTGATGACTCATGCCTCCTCCTATATCTCCCATGCGTTGCCATGGTGACATCCCCAGATGTAATTGACTCTGCCTCGGCGACGCGGGGCCAGTGTACAAATGGAGAACACTGACTGACCGGAAGCCAAAAGCCAATCTTCTGCCTGGATGACAAGTTGTTTTTGTTTTTCTTACAGAAACACACACACAGAGGCAGGTCCATTCATTCAGCTCACATACGGTCACACGTGTCCAGTGGCACAGTAGCAAGATGACATCAGAAAGTCATGGAGCTGAGTATCTTAATAGACTTTTTAAAGGCACATCTGCTAAGCAAAATGTTCTTATCTGGCTTCTGTGACAGTGAGCAAATGCTGGCCAGGAAAGGTTTGGTTCTGAGCTTTTTCATATGTAGCCTAAAGTTGGAGAACTTCTCATCAGTGACATGTGAATTATTATTGTGAGTATTGTTGCCTGTGGTTAAGAACAATGTTCATTTAGTTTAGAAGATATTACATTTTGACTTTCTATAGATGCTTGAATATGCCCCCACAGAGAATGAGCCTGAACACATCGGGATTCAGGCATTGATCGATTTCCAAGTGAAGCACATGGAATGAGTACACTACTGATAGGCAGCAATCCCTATAGTCATTTAATAAGCAGCATATTTAAGGCAGAATTTCTGGTATTTACTTGGCATTGCAGGTGCCTTTTTTTTAGTCTCAACATAGCAGCTGCTTCTCAATATGAGAAGACAGCTAGGAGCAGTAAAATACTGAATAAAACAATATGTCTGAATTTCTTCTCATCTTACATTTCATTTTGTGTTTAAAAGATACAGTAATCATATCACAAGCCCCTGATTTACATTATGGTTTGCTGATTTAACTAAAGTGGGAGGGTAAGATGGGAGTCTATTATGATGCTCCACTGCAGTGATGTGAGAATTACCCCCATCTGACAGGATGGTGTCCAGTTAGACCAGCAGCACCACCTCCGCAACCTACCTCTTTAACATCCTCTAAAGTCAAAATGTGTAGTCAAGGTAACTGGGGAAAGTATGGTGAAAAGGGGTGGGGAGTTGTTCTGCTTGGTGATGTGGCTGTTCGCCCCACTAGAAATCCAAATTGCATAAAATGACTCAGCTTTCTGAGGTTAAAAATCCTGCCAGCCTGAGTTAAACAAAACAGGGCGTTTTTTTTCTGCATGTTTTTTTCTTCTTTGTAATGTGAGTACAGGAAAACAGAGAGGGCCTGACACATTCATAGCAGGTGAAAAAAGAGATATGGGTATGTTTATCAGCAGCAGGTTAATGAATGCAGGGAGGTCCAGAGTTTGGTCTGGAGCCCAGACAAAATTCATGTCTCGTATTCAGCAACTGCTCTTGAATAATTGTTGAGACAGAGGGAGAGCTGCCAGAGCATAACTTTGATTTACCAGCTCTCCCCTATAAATTACAGTCAATTGACAAACTGATGTCTGAAGCCAATAGCGGCCCTAGCAGCGGCATTCCCGGATGACTGAGCTTTTCACCCTATCTCTTAGGGAGAGCCCAGCCACCATGGGAGGAAAATTTCAGCCGCTTGTATTCGCGATCTCGTTTCTTCAGTCACTATCCAAAGTTCATGACCATAGATAGGGGTTGCAACTTAGATCGACTAATAAATTAAGAGCTTTGCTTTTAGGCTCAGCTCTCTCTTCATCACGACAGACTGGTGCCCACATTAGTCCTTCTCTCCCTCTGTCACTCTGTCCTTCTCTCGCCCTCTCTCTCTTGCCCTCTCTTTCCCTCACCCCCAATCCGCTGAGGCAGATGGCCGCCCACCCTGAGCCATGGTTCTGCTCGAAATTTCTGCCTGGTAAAAGGAAGTTTTTCCTTGCCTGTGTCGCCTAGTGCTTGCTCATTGTGGGAATTGTTGGGTTTCTGTAATTAACTTCAGAGTAGAGTCTGACCTGCTCTGTTTGGAAAGCGGTGTGAGACAACTGTTGTTGTGATGTGGCGCTATATAAACAAAATTGAATTGAATTGAATTGAACATTAGTGTTGAGCCACACCGATTCACCTGTCGATCTCCCGCTCCATTTTACCCCGATTTGTGAATATGACCCCAAGATATTAATCTCCACCACTTGGGGAAGGACATCCCCCCCTCACCTGGAGGAGGCACTCTAACGTTTTCCAGGGTGAGACCATGGCCTCGGATCTGGAGGCACCGATCCTCACTCGGCTGCCAACTCCCCAGTGAGAGCTGTAGATCGTGACTTGATGAAGCCATTATCTGCAAAAAGCAGAGATGCAATCTTAAGGCCACCAATGCAGACACCTTAAACATTTTGGCTACGACTCGAAATTCTGTCCATAAAAATTATTTATATTATTAACAGAATTGGTGACAAAGGGCAACGTTGGTGGATTCCAACTCTTACCGGAACGACCCTGACTTACTGCTGGCGAGGTGGACCAAGCTCTGGCCAAGCTCTGGCCAAGCTCTGGCACCGGTTGTACAGGGACCTACGTATATCAAAGGGCCTGGAATCACATACTCACAGAGCACCACCCACAGGATTCCCCTAGGGATACTCTCAAACGCCTCAAATGACCCTGCTGAGGGTATAGAGCTGATCCAGCATTGAAAGCCAAGCTATAATCTACGAACAGGGTCCTGACATAAGAGCTCGGTTGGTCCGGCTGCTTCAGTATGTGGTGGATGCTGAGGTTGATAGCGTCGTCAACAGAACAATTTGTTCTATAGGCAAACTGTAAAGGGTCCAAGAGATGGTCTGTGATTGGTTTAAGGAAGGACAGGATGGAGTGGAGACAAAGGGGGGGCATGTAGTCTATCGAACCTGGTGTAAAAGGTGTCTAGATCGTCAGCTAGTCTGGGAGAGGGGGTGATGACGGGCTTTTACCTTTGTAATTTGTGATGGTCCTCCACACAACTGCAGAGTTGTTAGTGGCTGAATTACATCTGGGATGATAGTCCCTTTTAACTGTTTTAATGGCCCTCTTAAAAGCCTCTCCTGTCGTTGTATCAGTGAGATTTTGTAGACCCGCGGCTCCTTGGACACTTCAAAATTAGGTGCTTATGGAGGTGCTTCTGCTTGTTTACTTTTATATTATTCAGTAATTTAGGTGATTTTATTCACCTCTTTTAAAATATTCAAATAAAGCTGCTTACGTTCACGTTCCTTGGTTGCTCTTAAAAGACTAAATCATTTGAAAATGGTAAGAAAATACACATGTTTGCGAACCAGCCCAACCAAAGCATGGACCCCCACTGATTCACTCTGAAAGCCAAAAGCTTCATTGGGAAATTTGTTGAGAAATCAAGCCCTGAACATCACCTTATCGTCAATAGCACCCAATAATCAAACACAGTGGGATCAGCATACTTTTGTTTTTGTTTGTTTGCTTGTTTTTTTCGTATAAGCTAGGCGATCACATAGGTGGAAAGAAGGATGAAGTAAAACATGGGGCCATAATCATAACACTGGGATCAAGGTGAAGGCCAAAACTGTACTCTAGGTGGGACTTAACTGAGCAGGCAGCCGATTGTGCATTGTTCTTCAGTAACAGCAAATCCAATTGTTTTGTGTTTTTGCCCTTTATACGAGATCAACTGGCCTTGCTGCAGTAAAAGCAGTTTTTGCTTCACATGTGTTCATTTACTGTAGCACCTTCTTAACTCAGAGCTTCATGGGTGAGAGGTTTAACAAAGTCAGACATCTGGACTATCTAAACTTCTGTTAGGATTTGGTTATAAATACACACTTTAGCATTGTTTGCTATCACATGATCTATGCATATTATTGATTGTTTCATTTTATATTATACCTATAGTTTGTATTGAAGTTTCTGGCTGTAACCACAGATTCTCTTTGTTCTCTCTTTTCTTTTCTCTGTTGCATTAGATCCACGTCTTTAAGTCAACACATACACACACCATTTGGTACCACATTCCAATGTCATCAACATGAATTTACAATCCGGCTTGTTAGTCTTAGAGGTAACTAACCAATAGGACTTGGTTGTGTCCAGTCCTCCTTTTGAGGGGTGTGCCCAGCCAAGGAGACAAAGACCCATCACACCCAGATCTCAGAGCTCTTTGCCGACTGAGACCCTGAGAGAGAGGTTTCCTCTGTGAAGAGCCCAGCGCTGAAATACTTTACCTGTGACCCAATAAATGTCATTTTTTACTCTTGATCTACTCTGGTTTATTCTCAGGTTTCCAACTAAAGAATCGGGCTAACACTTCCCTTAAAGAAGAGGAATTGACCAAAGTTTGACAGAGATCTTTCAACATTGGCTGATACTGGCCTGGTTGAGAATATAATCAAAAGTCTGTGTCTGCAGAGTGTTTCTCAAGGGGCATCATCACATCTGCAGTTTCCATGGCTAAGACAGTACATGTTGCATCCAACTTCTACTTCTCCTACTGTTCAGTAAGGGGTTAAATTTATTGAAGCTGGGATAGTTTTTTCTTATGATTAAACAGCAGGTGGCTAGAATGTGAAACAGGCTCTACCTTCCCCCTAGCCACTGGACCTAGCTCCATGCTCTGATCCTGATCTCTAGCCTCAAGGCTTTGGTGATATAAAATGCATTCTGTAATTTTTTTTTTTTTTAACATAAAATGTGTGAAGAGTAAAATATTGAAAGAGCTAGCAGCTGCTCGCAGGCTTAAAACCACACGTTTTGTTTAAATTCAACCAATTATTTTAATCATAAGGCTTTTAATGGTAGTAGACAACATCTAAAGTTTAGAAAAGGGCCTAAACGCAAGGGATAGAACCTCATCATGGGTCATTAGAAAAGCTGCTGATGACATAACTTTTCAACAACTTTTATGCTATAATCAGAATATTTTTATGATTGAATTAAATGTCATTCTATAATCTTGATCACTTTTTGTAAAATGTTGAGGAAAAAGAGACAAAAAGACATTTAGACTTGAATGTAGTTTAATTGATCACCAGGCTGTTTCCCTTTTACAATGATTCTGCAGTAGTTCTAGTTTTACCAGTTAGGTTTTAAAGAGACAGAGATATTGTATATCGCGCAGAGGAAGAAAAAACATAATTAAGAGTAATACAATGCAAAAAAGGAAGGATAGAGAAAGAGAGTCAAACAGAACTACCAACACAGCGTCTTCTTAACATGTTATAGGGCAAACATTAAAAGCACAGCCCAGTATATTACTGTAGGTTCATGTCAGTACCAGTTAAGACAATAAGCATTTTCAAATATACCTCTTTAAAATAGCGTGTTTTTTTATTTTTATTATTTCCATGTTAAACAATTACATTCAGGATTATAACTAAACAAATTACATGCAGAAAGATTAGATGGACAGATGACACCATATGCTGATTGAGATCAAATGAAATCTTCATCTTTTAGGCAGATACGAAGATGAAATCCAACTGAAAGATGCACTTTTTTTCTTTCTCTTTTTTCTTTTGTGTAGTGTCGGCAGGTACTGATTATCTTGTTACTAAAGTATGCTTGAATGAACTGATGTCATAGACTGGACAGTTTGTTGTTTGTCAAAGGTATTATTTCAAGAGCAGAATGTACACATCTGTGCACGGTTCGGACATTTGACATTTGTTTAGTTTCCATTATGGGTTGTGTAGTCTGTGTGTGTTTCAAGTCATATTCAGGAAAAGAAAAAAGTTGCAGCTGAAGTTAGAACCACGTTTTTCGTACTTTTAATATATTTGTTCAGGGATCTCAGTTGTGTTCTGTCACGTTGAGAGCAAAAAAAGATTCTTTGTCTTTCCTTCTAACTGTTCTGTTACTACAATAACAGGCAAAATTGGAAAGGTATCCCTTACAGTTATGCCCAACTTTCTTTTAAAAAAAAAACGTTTTTTTTCCTTTGTATGTAGTTTTGATCCAGCAGCATTCTTTTTTTCGTATCAACTCTACATTCAGAAAATATATCTCCTGCAGTGCATTCGCCTCATTTAAAGTCATACAGTCTCAGTATTGAGTGATTCACAGCGTTCTGTTCATACCTCGGAAACATTGAGGCTATCTATTTGGAGTCAGCCAACTTAAAAAAAATATTTTCACAACAAATGATACCGCCCATGAAATCTGACCCACACATTTAAAAATATCTTTATGTTCCAAATGCATCACATATGGCATAAAGAAGTGTAAAGGACTTTTTGCTTGACATTCAGACATTGACTAATTTCAGGGGAGTCGATTTTAAACCTTGACTGTGCATTACAGTTAATCAGCTCCTTCCAGACTGAGGTGTATGTTTACTTGTGCGTACCCAGCTGTATTACATACTGTATAACTAGCATCAAAATCTAATTTTAAAAGATTCTATCCACCTCTAAAACTTCACACAGAAAGCAAGCATCATGGAAAAGGATTAATGATGGAAAGAGATGAGTAAAACAACACAGGGTGGCAATCTTGTGTGTCCAGCCACCTTTGATTTAAAACTGAAGGAAAGCAGAAAGGCTTCTGAAAATGAGGTATAAAGCAGCGTTAGGAGCAGGTTTTACGGAAAAACTAATTGGCACACTAATTGGTACCTGGCTAACTTAAGGTGATCACGTTGCCTTCTGAGAACCTTTGTGTTTTATAATCTCATTGAGGTAAATCATTTAATTTATTTAGGCTTTGCATTAGGAACATCCTTCCTTTTTTGAAGAAAAACAAAATAAGTTCTGGTGAAAGTAAGAAACTGAGTTGTTTTCAAGTCTGGTTGTGAACAAGCAGAAAGACCTTCACTCTGAACTCACAGATAAAATCACCTGCAGACAGAAATCGTGCTGAATTATTCAAAAACAGCTACTCAGTGTGTATATCCTATATCCATTTGTGTGAACATATATATACACACAATTATAAATATGTATGTATATATATATATTTATATATACTACTAACGTTCCTACAGTATCATCAAGCATCAAGTATACTCATAATCAAAACGTTTATGCTCAGTCTATAAATATTTCTTTGCAATTAATACCAGGTAATACTTTGTATTAAGATCGAATCCTTATCTGTTTTATCTGGAGTAACAGGTTGTACACTTTTGTAGTTTCTCCAAAGAAGTTGTTTTCTCCTACCACACAAAATCCGTCTTTCACAGCTACATGGAAAACCCAACTTTTATATGCTTCCTCCGATGCCTCGACAAAGTGCATTCCTATTTGGTGCAATAATCTGCTAGAAGACATTCATATTGACTTTGACATGGGTATTTGAGGATTAAACGGTTCCGGATTCATTTCAAAACCTTGTGCGATGAGAGTGAACCCCATTCACCGGATACAGTACAGCTTGCAACTCTTGTATAAGCCGGTTGGTCCTCAGTTCAGAGATGGTTGCTGGCTCGGTTCAAAATGGCTAACCTCCTCAAGACATCCCCTCCCCCTCTTTCCAAAACCACAAGCTAAAGGCACGTAAAGTTCAAGAAGCCTCTTGCATCAAACGTCACACTTTTTTTTCCTTGAAAAGTATCTCCAATATTGATGAAAATAGATATTGCAGTTTCCACTGGCATACTGATGCTTGTGGAGGGCCTCGCAGACGAGCTTTCATTGCTACATTCGTCACAGGTCACTGCTTGTTTTTTTTCCGCCACTTTTTGGGATATTGACAGATATGTAGCTGAGCATGAAGAAATGGCATCGAAAAAGGCCCTCTTCTCACATCATTAAAAGCACCCTCTTCACCTCAGGATCACAATTCACCGCGTCATCGCAAAATATTTGATTCCTGTAACATAAACGTTGTATTGATGTGAAATGCTAATCCTTCAAGTAAACTGAGTATATACACCTAACAATAACCTTGATGAAGACTTTAAAAAAATTTACACCCAACAGAGACATGATTATTCTGGAAACTTTGTCTTTTTGCTTGACGCCTACTGAATACACTTGATCACAGACAGCCAGATGGTGTAGTAATCTATCAACACTGTACTGCATTTCACACTTCAGGGCTGTTTGAAGACAGGGTTAACCCTATGCAGCTTTCTGAAAAAGTCGGAGCTACAATGCAAGCATCATGCACCAGCTAAGCTGTGGAAGCTGAGAAACAGAACCGAGCAAGTGGCAACTTCTGGTGCCTCCTAAAGCTACACCACAGTTGACAGGAACTAACGTCTTAGTTACAGAGTATCATTTCAGTCATCATTGAGCTAATTAAGCTCTTATGTAGAGAGCGCAGAAATGTAAAGAATGTGTATTGTTCTTTATCCATGGGAGTAAAAAGCTTTGAATTGAAGAATAAAAACTACTTAAAATGCTGTCATAAATAAATAAGTGATTGATCACCGCTTATTTCTAAGCTGTTTTGGAGAGGTTGGCTACAGTGTATTCCTGTTTTGGCACACATTTCACTAACCTGGGAAGACCCCATTTCAAAGCCGAAGACAGTCTGAAAAATCAGTGAGGACTGTTTTTGGTGCTAATCTCTGGGGTCCCTTTTTGTTTTCAGCAGATTTGAGGCGAAGGAAGTCCCCAAACATTGTCTAACGTGATTCAAACTCTCTCTACAGTTGCTGTTGGTGTAAGCATAGGTCATTTGCTTTGACATTTAAGAAAAAAATTAAAACGTGTATTACTAATTGTGTGCTGATCCTACCAATACAAAGCTTAAGCCCCAAATTTTGACTGTGATTTCAGCCAACAGATCCTAGTTGAGGGCTGCGGCAAATGCTTTTGAGACTGGTACCATGAATAGGAGAAAGTCTGAAGCAGCAAATAGTTTTGTTTCCTCTTGCTCTGCCTTGTGATTATGAGGGGCAAGGGGGGGATTGGTGGCGACGGTGAAAGCGGAGCTGTGTTTAAGATGTTCAGAACTCGATCTTGCAGGCGGGGAAAGACTCGTCCTGCATGACTACGGTACTGCTGGAGGCCAGGACCATGATGTTCAAGTCCTGCTGCCTCTCATGCGTCTGCTGGTACCACTCCCGGGTCACCTCTGTGTCGTGGGTCGGTATCAGAGTGACCTGTCAGCAGAAAAAGAGACAGAATCCCTTTTAAGTTGTACATTTTTTAAATCAATAAAACACCTCCATTCACCTCATTCATTTTGAAAATATACTGTACATGTTTACCACAGAAATGGGAACATACTGCTTAAGATTAATGTAGTGCTGGTAGAAATTGGAAAACATAAGCCATTTGCATGCAGGGAGTGAGAGAAAGTGCACAGAAGGAGATAAATTACTTGTAAATTAGAGCCCCATTGAGCTTTGCCCTCCAGCAGAGCGTCTAGGACTCCACGGCTAGGTTCTCCGCTGCCCGGGTCATTCCCACTCACAACGTAGTATGTAGCCCGCACTCTCTTGAAGAATTCCTGGTCCACGTTCTTGGCACTGCAGTGGTTAGGTACATATGCCAAGTCGACATAGACAGGTGGTCCAGGGGGGACAGCTGAACTAGATTTCTGGGAGTTGTTTCCTGGAAGTGAGGAAGGATGCAAGCAAGCATTAGTTATATTTAAATATGCATTGACTAATTTATTCATGTATTTTTATTGCCTTCTTTATTCATCTCATGGTGCTGGGAGTATGTATCATGCATTTCCTAAAATTGCATGATCTGATAGCAAAGTATGACTTCATTACCCTTTAATACAATTGTATCTGTGCTGCATTGTCATGTCACCGCAATTTCTTGGATATTGACATTTTTATGCTGTTTAATTGTGTATTGAAAGATATCAGATGTGAAAAGTTAAAAATGTAAAAACAAAAATAGAACGAAACTGAGGCTTATTTAGATATATCATCAGATTAGTTAAGATATCTTAAGGGGTTGAATGCATTTAAACGACCACAAAGTGTTTTGGTTTGTGCGTGAAATTTATGTTCCGCCAATATATGACATTTTAAATGATCATTTCAAGCAGTGTTCCTGTACCTGTTTTTGTGTTACGTGTTATTTATTTGAAAATCTCCTTTTGAAAAACGCGACTCATTCATAAAAATTGGAATCTTATGGTTAATTTGAATAAAATTTGTGAATCTGCTTGTAAGATCAACTTAATGTCTTATGGTTTGAGCATTACATTTACCATAACATATAACCTCTTCATATGTTTTTTTACGGGACAATGTAAAAATATCTTGTACTCAACATGTCTGGGATTGATTTTAGAATAATTAAAAAACAAAAAAACAAGCCAAATCATGGTTTCCTCTCGACAACAACAATTGTTAGCTCCGCAACACCTATTTATTTTATTTTTTTATTTAATGTTTTCTATTGCACTGAGTCAGTTATGATGCCGCTAATTGATGTCAGGATGCATATCGAAAGCTTTTAAGGAGAAAAATAATAATAATGCGCTTGCCGGACTGTTGAGGCAACTTATATTCAATTTAATCTTGTGTAATTCAGTAGGCCTAGTTTGGATCATCTTCTGGATTATTTTGAAGATTAAATCATGGGATGTGTTCTAGAATGTCACGTTAACACACCTGAACTGCTCTTGAAGCCATTGACCAGGCCTTTTCCAGGGTTGTGAATCTCACTCCTTGAGCCTTGGGTTTCAGACATTTTGATCAGCCGGGAACTTCTCTCAGTATCTTTTCTCCGAACGGAAGATGATCGAGGGGAGGCAGAGTCCTTTGCCTGTTTCACTGGAGTAGAAGACCTCTTCCGTACTTCCCCTCTACGAGCAGGAGAGGCTGACTTGGGTTTGCCTTTTCTCAGGCCCTTGGTGGTCTTGTGCTCCTTCTTTGGAGGTTTTTCTGTGCTGGTGTGATCGTTGAGAAGAGCCTCAGGGTCTACCATACATGCATCAGGGTGAGGAGGATGGGGAAGCGGGTCCTTAATAGGGGTTGGGAGGGGATCATGAGTTTTTTGAGAAGATCTTGGAGAATGTTGGCCTCCTCCAGTTCCAGAGGCTGATAATTTGTCCACTGGTAGATGCTCAGCATCTTCATCAGAGTCCAAATTTCCCTCTGCAGTTATGGATGGGCACTCTTCAGTTTCTGGAGGGACATCAGAGTCAGACTGGGAAGGCAGCGACTCACTACCCGACGATGGAGGTGATTCTTCTCCGGCTAATGTGACAGCCAAACCTGATGACATTGCACCTGGAAGCTGGTGGGACCCTTGTCCAGAGTCTCCATGGTGACTCTGAGTGTGGTGGCGCTTCTGCTTATGCGACCTCTTTTTCACAGAGTGTGGTTCGTGATCGTCCTCATCCCCTTCCTGTGAGTGCTCACTGCAGGTACCTTCTTCACCCTCATCACTGGAGAGCTGCTGAGGACTTGGGTTGATGAAGGATGGAGAAAGCTCTCCCTTGCTGTGTTTGTATTCACAGGATGAGAAGCCTTGAGGGGATGTAGATGAGGTTGCCCCAGTGTTCAGGTCAGAGGGCCGATCCGCCCTTCGCTCTCCTTTGCCAGATGTTTCTGTCTGGTAAGCATCTTTTGATGTGGACATTGAGGTACCATGCAAACTGGCCATCCATTCAGTTGCTTCTATATCTTCTTCCTCCTCATCGTCACCATACCCTGGTGGAGGGGCACTGGGGTAGTCATCAGGCCTTTGTAGTAGCTCCCAGTCAGATATACTGCTCTTTCTCCTTACTTCTAATCTCTCTGGTGGCTTCACCAACAAGTATTTATCCTCCACTTTTTCAGCCTCTGCTTGCTTCCCAGACTCTACTTTTTCACTCAGAGGGAGATCAGCTGCTTCTATTTTCTCTTCTTTACCAGCCTTTCCATCACGTTTACTTTCCTCCTTTGTCTGTTTGACTTCAGTGTTTTTCAGCTCTTCTGACTTTTCATCTTTCTCACTCATTCTTTTTTCTGACACTTTGGTGTCTTCCTTCAACAGTTCAAACTTTCCATTGGCCTTTTCTTCTTTTATCTGCGGTGTTTTATCCTCATCCACTCCTGTGGCACATGAGGCTTTGGCAGCTCCAGTATCACTTAGTGAAGGGAATGAGGCTGTAAGTTGAGTTTTTTCGGCCATTATTAGAGGTTTAGGCAAAACAGCAGTAGAGGCGACGGTGACTGTCTTTGTTTCTGTTAAATGAACAGTACTTTCCAACGAACATGACTGAGTTTCTGTTGAAAGCGTCTCAGAAACTTTGATTTTTTCACATTCAATACGACATGGTAGGGTACCATCTTCTATTTCAACTGTAACTGGCTCCTTTTCTGGGGACATCCTGTCAGCCCTTTGGAGAGGCGAGATATCAAAGCATGTTGTGGACGTTAATGAACTTTCTGTACTTTGCGGTGAAGCTGCAGTGGTGGATGCAGCGGCCTCAGACTTCAAGTCTGATTCTGATTCTTTATCCCCAGTATGTTTTGCTGTGGTGGATGATGGTTTGGACACTTGTGCTGCAGGCTTCGTCATAACCTCCATGTATTCATCTCTCTGAAAACCTCCAAAGCACGAGCTTGTTGCTGCAGCCATGAGCGATGGCTCCTCTTTGGTTAAAGGTACGTCGGAGCGTGATATTGAAAATGTTTCAGTTGTGTCTTTTAAAGACTGGCTCAAAAGAGAAGACGTTGGTGCTGAAGATGTAGAGGAGAACGTTGAAGAAGAGTATGTTAAGGTGGTGTATGTGTATTCCGATGAGGTAGTTTCCACATGTTTTTCTGTGACGTATGAAATCTCCCTCTGAACTAGACCATCATCTTCAGCATCTCTTTGGCTGAAATATCTATCATCACTTGGCTTGGACAGTGTGGAGCTATCTGAGAGAACAAGTGTTTCTTTCTTGTTCACCTTTGACTCAACTTGACTGTGATCACTGTAAAAATGCTCAGCGTAGCCTTCAGACCTCTGGCCGATTTCGGCATAGCTACTCGTTAGGAGAGGAGAGTGACTGGATGAGGGCTTCACCACTGACTCAGTTTCCAAAGAGCTGGTAGTAAAGCTGCTTGTGGACGTTGGGTGACTAGTCACTAATTTTGTCATGGCATCGTCTCCCACTGACAATCCCCTTTCTATTGTTGGCTCAGGCAACAACTGTGTTTTGCTTCGGTCCTCTTCTTCCATCTTATCTGTTTGTTTGTGAGTGTCTGGTGTTGAAAAGCTGCTGTCAGGCATTTTAGGTGAACTTGGGTCTGGCGACAGACTTACTTTACTTTCATCTTGACTCTTTGATTCAAAGGTGTTTGGTGTTGTGTCTTGAACTGTATCTTCCTCTTTTAAAGGTTTTACAGCCAAATCTTTCTTGTCTGTGTCTGGATCTTTTACAGCTGAGGCATCAGTAGTTGATTGGACTGCTTCTGCTTTGAGGAAACCTGATTCAGACAGCGTAGTCATTTTGTTTGAGTCTTCTATAGCTGCTGATCTCACACTGTCATCCGAATCACGTCTACAGGTCTCTTTTTCAGACTGTTCCCTGGCACCCTTTTCCATATCAACATCGCTTGATTCATCCTCCTCTTCTTCTTCGTCCTCCTCTTCATCATCTTCATCATCATCAACATTGAAATCTTCCCCTTCTACCAGGAGCCTTTTGTCTATGAGACTCTCTTTTCCTTCTGGAAAACCTAAAGATTTACATGTTGCAGAGCTGCTAATTTGACTGTTGTCAGATGCCAAAGCGTTGTTGTCTGTTTCCTGTTCTGCAAATGTAGCCACAGCAACAATCCTGGAGTCAGTAGGTGATTCTTGTGTTACTAACAGTGATGATTGTTGAGGTATAATGTCTTTTTCTGCAGGCGAGTGTCGTCCTGATGGAGAACCTTCACTTTGATGGTCAGAAGAATCCACTTTCTCTCTTTGTGACTCATCGGATTTTTCTTTTTCCTTTTCTGTCGTCTCACTCCCTTTAAATTCTCCAAACAAGCCACCAGAAGCTGAGGCACTGAGATCTGGGTGGCTCCTCAAGGGAGAAGCTGTTTCTTGTCTTAAGGAAGTAGGTGCTGACTGTATATCAGCGCTGGTAGAAATTACATCACTTTTTCTCCTTGCTTGCATTTGTGAAGTGGCTGCAGAATCTTCCTTCTCGTCCTCTTTCTCTTTCTCTGATTTTTCAGGTTTGTCCTCTTTGGGACTGAAAGAATAAGACTCAGCAGCTTGGGACATTTTGTTATCTTGTTTGTCTATGGATGAATAGCTCTTATCAACACAAGATACATCTACTCTTTCTTCTCTTTCACTCTCCTCCTCTTGGCCTTTTTCTCTGTCTTGATCAGTAAGGGAGTTACTTGGACTGGGGTGGCTGCTTCTTTCACTCTCTGTGAGGGACACCGGGCTGTAGTCTACTCTGCTGAAGGACAAAGGTTCCTCTTTGTACTGATCATCCAGGAGGAACATGGCCCCTCCACTCTCTGCCTGGACTGTTCTTCGGTTATCATCTATGCAGATGTCCGAAGCATTTTCCAAATCTAAGGAAACCTCTCTTTCTTCTCCTGAGTCCAGATCATGATGTTTTGGAATGGGCTTTTCGTACGGATCATACTTAGACGCCCCTGCGGTTTGCTTGTCATCTGTGGAGCTTCCACTGATAACTTCCTTCTCTGAGCTCATTCTTTCGTCCACATCTCCTTTTTTAGTTCCAGGAGTGTCACTTCCATCTTCGGATTCTTTGTCTAACATAAAATATGAACATGGTTGCAATAGCCCTGGAGAAGCCATCTCTCTTTCTCCTTCCATCTCCCTTTCTGCTTCCTTTGCCACCTTTTCATCCACTGTGGCCTTTTCTGTAGAAACTGCCACGGTCATCTGAGATAGTGTCTGTCTGTCTTGATGCATTGTGTCCTCTACACTGGACTGGCTGTCAATACTTGAAAGCGTGCCGCTCCTCGGTTGGCTGTCAGTGCTTGATATTGCTGACAACACAGGCTTTTTCTCTGCTGATTCAGACAATGGTTCCGCTTTGGCTGCTGGAGTGGTGACTGGTTTTTCCGCTTGGTGTGATGTCACAATATCAAATGATGTTTCCGGTTGGGCAAGTGGCGCAGGGGTGGTTTGTGCTTTCACAATATCTTTGCCTGCTTCAGGTAAAAATCTGGATTCTTCTTTTTCCAACTCTTTTATCTCTTCATCCAGAGATGGCTCCTGCATTGTAAGAGTTGGGATAATTACTGTGGGCTGTTGAGCCGGAGGTGGCTGAGTTTGATCACTTGTCTGTGGGCTAAAACCCGCAGAGGAGATATCTAGGTCAGTTTTTCTTGGCTCCACTGACAAAGGCCTGGAACCTGCTCCTCCCATACAAATGTCTTCCTCCTCTTCATCTTCCCTGTCTTCCTCTGACGAATGAACTACAAATGCAGGTTTGTGATCAGACTTGGAAACAAGCACTTCTTCTCCCAGTTTTGTCTGAGAAGGTTGTTTTAAGCTTTTGTCGAGGTCTTTCTCCTGAACTTCTTCTCTCTCCCATTTCTCCTCTTTAGTGTGATCTACATCAGTGTAGTCAGATTTTTCTTTCTCTGTAATGCTATCAGTCTTCATGGAAGCTAAATCCTTACCTTCCATCATCTTTTCATTTAGAGCTGGTTTTGTCTTTTCATCCTTTAGGTCTTCGCTGTCATATGTGTCCTCTTTTTCCTGTTCTTTCTCCATTTTCTGCTCTTTACTTAGTTCAGCAACATGTGTGTCGTCTTTCTCTTTCCCCATCTTCTCTTCATGACCAACAGCTTCACGTTCTTTGGCAAACGGACAAATGTCGTCTTTCACCAAAAAGCCTTGCTGAATTCCTTTAGTGATACTTTCATTCACCGTCTGAGTTCCGGGAAGCTTATCGGTAGTTTCTTCATGAACACCCTTATCGATAATATTGTCCTTTGTCGTTGTCTCATCTTTCATACTCTGGGCCTGTGTAAAATCTGCCTCTTTTTTATCACCCCGCTTCGATTCAGACTCAGCTTTACCCTTTTTCTCTTCAGTCGTGCTACATGTTGGAGTGTGTATCTCATTTACTTCGTCTTGTTTGAAAAGTTCATCTTCGGGAATGACCTGTTTGACCCCAACTGTTTTTTCATCTTCTGGGATTTCAACCTTAGATGGCTCCTTATATTTTGTGTCAGTGGGTTGTTCAGTGGTTGAATCTGCTTCTTTTTCTTTCTTTGTGTCTCCCAGGTCAGTTTCCTTATCTTTCATTTTTCCCAAAACTGATTCGTCTTCATCAGCTATGCTTTTTTCTTGTATCTTAGCCACTTGGGTTTGTTTCCCTACCTCTTTGCCTTCTGTAGCTGTTTTAACAGAAGTCACAGCAACATCTTCCTTCTTCTCCTCCTTAACAGATGCAGATTCCGAAACATCAGTCGTTTCTTCTTTCTTAACCTGAACTTCTTTATATTCAACTTCCTCTTTAACGATTTCTTTTGCCTCCTCTTTGATGAGTTTCATGTCTGATATGACATCTGTCATTACAACCTTCTTCTCCTCTGTGAAGGGGTGAGAACCAGCCATATCCTTTGTTTCTTCCAATTTAGTGGGGTCTGTTCCATCAGTAATCTTATCTTTTTCGTCTCTACTGATTTTGGTGGCTTCATTAGGATAATGAACTTTTACTTGATCTTCCTTAGATAATTTGAGGTGGACTTCCTCCTCCTCATCTACTGTCTCCTTTTTTCCTTCTATTTGTATTTTAGCAGCACTAATATCCTTAGATATTTCTTTGTCTTGTGCAGTGGGAGTTGGTACAAAAATTACATCCTCTTTCTTTGTTTCATCCTTAGATGTTTTGACACCATTATCATCTTCTCCTGTTAACATATCTCCTTCCCCTATCTTATCTGATTTAATGGTAGAAATAACTTTGCTTTCCTCTTTCTCCTTTTCTTCTTCCATGGTTGGTTTTCCAGTTTGAAGTGTTTCTTTAGCTTCTGCCCTATTTGGTATAGCAGAGAAATAAATGTCTTCACTTGTGATTGCAGACTCTTCTTCCATCTTGGCTAGCTTATCTGCAATATATCCATTCTGCTCATCTTCCCTTTCTTCTCCTACTGTTGGTTTACAAGGAGTTGTTTCTTCCTTGCTTGAAAGTTTTTCTTCCAATTTAGTGCTTGGAAGGGCCACAGTGCTGGTTTTCTCTGTGTCCTCTTTCTGGTAATCTTTTATGGGAGGTTTGGAGACATGAGGGTCATCCATGCTTTTTGTTACATCTCGATCATGATCTTTGTCTTCACTGTCTTCTTGACTTGTGACTTTCTCATTTTCTTGTTCAATCGATGTCTCAGTAGCGGAAATCTCATCTTCATTCACTTTCACATCTTTTACCTTCTCCCTACTGAGGCTGATTGTCGAGATTGCATCTTTACTACTTTCTTGTGCCTTCTCTTCTTTCTTAGTTAAAAGAGTTTCATCCAGCTCACTTATAGCTTCTTTTTCTGTGCTGAGTGTAGCAACAGTGATGCCACCAGTCTCTACCTCGTCTCTCTGCTCATCTGTGAGGGACTTGGTGGCACACACATGGCCGTCGTCCATTACTTTTTCATCATGCTTGTCTTCTTTCAATGTGATATCTGAAATTTCTGTCTCCTTTTTGGTCACATCTGGGGAATGTTCAGAGGTTGGTATGCTGTCTTTTTCTACCCCTTTGGTCTCCTCTTGAACAGGCTTGATATCTGAAGGGTAGGTCCTTTCAGTCTCTTCTTCTTTTGTCTTAACAGAGCTAACAATGTCACTCTTGTCTATCTTGTCCTTCTCCTCATCTTTTAATTTTTTTTCAGGCATATCTTTTTTGACCTCTGTCTCTTTAAACTCTTCTTCAGTTCTCAGATCAAATTGATCCTCTGGTGTTTTGTCTTTTGTCTGCTCATCTCTGATTTGTTTAGCCTCAAATGTAAGAGTTTCTAAATCTGGTTGCTCACTGGTTTTGACCATTGGAATGTGGTCTTTTTCAAATCCTTTGTGTTCATCTTTAACGGTCCTATCAACAGCGAAAGTGTCCATTGACAATGGTTCTTTGACGAGTCTGATATCTGAGGGAATGTCTTTTATTGCATCTTTCTCTGCATCCTCATCTATGATGGACTTCGTGGCAGGATCTTCTACCTGAATGTCAGACTCATCTTTTTGGTGATCACTGATTTGTTTATCTCTTAAAGTGCCGTTTTTATCCTTGTCCTGCACTAACGTCAGTGTTTTTGGTGCAGATTTGTCATCATCATCGTCACTGTCTCTCTTTTCATCATCTTTGTCATCTTTCTTGCCATCATCATCTTTTTTATCATGCTCCCTTTCTGTATATTTATCTGATATAGGCACTTTAGGCTCCTTCTCTTTGGAAGTGTCATCACTGTCTTCATCATGAGATGGTAGAAGGGAGTCCTTCCCAACTTCAACTGGTACTTGAACTTCTGTAACTGATGAAGCCACAATCACTTTGCTTTCTGCCTGTTTTTCTTCCTCTTTTGGTACTACTGATGTGTCTTTCTCTGGCTCCTCCATCGCAGGAATTTCTTTCACGTCCTTTTCAAATGACTTCTTTTCAGATGTTGCAATTTCAACTTCAAACTGATCTCCTTTCTGTGTGTCAGCTTCCTTTTGCGTCTCTTCTACCGAGTCGTCTCTCATTTTGATTTTGATGTCACTTGTGTCGATTACATCAGAAATTGGCTCCTCTTGCTTTTGTGGTTCTGAACTTGGAAGCACTTTTGTCTTAACCTCCACTGGTGACTGACGAAGTGGAGAATGAGCTGCACTGGAGGGTGGGGACTGCTGAGGGGAAGCCATTTTCACAGTGATGTCATCTGGACTGAAGCAACGCTCTTCACTCTCAGAAGTTATTGAGTCAGATCCAAATGGTCTGGTAGGCACAACGGATGAAACATCTTTAGGAGCGACTGCGTCAATATTTTCCTCTTCGACAGGTAGATGGACCGCTTTGATGTCATGTTGAGTGTCTTCAGGAGACCCAGGGCCAGAGAGCTTTTTGACGTGTATCTCTTTGCTTTGTAACACTTGGGTAGAAGCATAGCCCTCTTGGAGTTTTTCAAGTGAAATGTCAGCATTAGGAGTTTGATCTTCTTCCTCCTCTTCTTCTTCCTCCTCTTCCGCAGCATCACAAACCTCAGCTGCTGGTTTCCCCTCTGCAATAGGGAGCTGTAAATCACTAGATGGAGACTTTGATTGTTTGTCATCTTCTAAAGAAGGTGGTGAAAGAGTTTCGGCAGAACGCGGCTGCTCTTTGCCTGGAGTAGTGTCAGGTGCTGTCGACAGAGGAACCGGGGTTTTAGTTGGTTCCTCAGATGGGGGTGCTGCGACAGATGCCACAGAATGATCTTCAGCAATAGAAGTGGGAAAGGAGGATATTTTGTCATACTCTGTGATTGATGTTGCCGAAGATACATGCTCTTCTTCTGCCAATGGAGCGGTTATTATATTGGTGAAAACTGACACCTGCTCTTGCAGGCATGGAATAAAACCCTTCTCAGTCAAAGCCGCAGCCTGTATCTCCCTCATGCCGTGAATGTTTACAAATGAGCCTGTCTGATCTGGGACAGAGACGTCGTAGGCACCAACATCATATTGGAGATGTGGGATTCTCTCCTCAGCTTCTTCGTGAATCTCCTCGTCAGAGATGGTCTGTTCTGTCTCAGAGTAACCAGGTATCGTCTCATCTTGGATATAAGAGACAGGCTCAGGTGCAGCAGCTCCTTGAACTACTGAGGTTATTGGAGCAGTGCTACCTCCAACATGGGATAGGTAGCCTTCTTCTTCCTCCTCCTCTTCATCTTTTGCTGCAGTCACGATTTGAGTTGCTTGGCTTTGCAATGTGTTGGTTGGTTTGTCTTTGATTTCTTCATCTGCTATTACATCCAAATCTTCTACCTCTTCCAGCTCTGCTTTCTCAATTGCCTCTTCTTCCTCCTCTTCTTCTTCTTTATTGTCCTTCGATGAACTTATTTGGATCTCTCCTTCAACCACTACCTTAGTTACAAGATGGTCTGATTTCTCCATTTTTTCTATCTCATGTTTTCTGTCAATCCCATCATCCTTTGCTTCTTTCCATTTTGATTCATCCTCATCTTCACCTATTCCCATGTCTTCTTCTTCCTCTTCTTCCCTTTGTACTTTCTTTTCTATAACTGGGGCCTCTTCCTCTTCTTCTTCCTCATCCTGACTTGCTGCTCCCTCATCTTCAAACTTTTGAGCTTCGTCTATTTCTTTTTCTTGACTAGACACGTTGTCCCTGTCATCAGTTTCAGTTTTCACCTCTTTGACTGGCACCTCCATTTCTGGAGACTTTGTACCATGTGGGATCTCAGAAATGACATCTTGTGCTTCTTCCTTCTCTTGACTAGGACTTTCTGCTGTTGGTTCTGGGCAGACATAATCAACTTCGGCAGGTTCTGCAGATACAGCCTCAACTTTTTCTAGCACTTCAAAATCCTTGCTGAGGTGTTCGGGTGTGGAGGTAACCCTGGCAGCTCCATTCTCAACGGGTTTCGGTTTAATTGCTTGAGGTTTTGGCTCTTCTGCTTTGAGTTCATCAGTTTCAGCTTTTGCAGCTTTGCTTTTACCACTTTTGGCTTTACTTGACACTTTAGCTTTGTGCAAAGTTTTTCTCACTTCAGGTGTAAGAGGTTTTAGGTCAGGCCTTGTCATTTTTCTCAGCTCAGGTTTGGATGCATCTTTCTTCTTGTCCTCTTTGGACTTGCCATCTTTTTTCTCATCTTTTTTGGCAGAGTCATCTTTCTTTATTTTCTTGATCTCTTTCTTTTCCTTGTCTTTCTTCTCATCCATTTTTGAGACCCTTTCCTTGGAATGCTTTTTTAGTAACTTTTCTTTAAGGTGTTTTTTCTTCTCTGGCACTTCAGTTTTAGATTTTATAGTCTTGGCAGGCTTTTTCTCCTCTGTTTTCTCTGATACATTTTCCTTCACCGAGTCACTTTTTGCCTCTGTCGTAGCTGAGACATCATCTTGTCCTTCAGTTTCTTTCTTTGGAGTCTTTGCTGTGGTCTTAGGGGAGGATTTGAGACTCTCTTTGCTATCTGTTCTTTGTTTTAACTTGGTTTGTTTAACAGCTGATGGAGTAGCTCCTGAAGCGATGTCCTTTTGTGTGGCTACAGGATAGCGCAAGAAGTCAAGGTGTTTTAATTTTTCCAGGCCCTCTAGGATCTTGTTTTGTGGTGCATTTCCTGGGAACAGCACTCTGACTATCTTTTCTGTAGGGTTGGCGGGAAGCCAGACAACTAAGGCCGTAACTGACGTCAGGTAGGGCACAGATATTTCTCCTTCTTTCCCATTGGGCAGCACAATGCCAGTTTTGGCCTTGCTGTTACCAGCCCACTTCTGCATTAAAAACTGCATTTCCTTACTGTCTTTGACAGGGTTGAGAATATACATGTCTAACCTGCCCACCCCCATTTTGTGGAAAAGCGTAATGGGCTCAATAGTGTTGCTGACCACTCGAAATAGAGGCTCTGGCTTCACTCCTAGTTTGTTAAGGTACTGTAAAGTAAGTGAGGCTTCTTCGATGCTGCGTTTCACTTTGAGATTAGATTCAGGCATACGGAGCTTTTCTGGTACGTTGAAGAACACAACACCTAGCTCAGGAGAAATCAGGTTTTTCATCCATTCACTGTAGTTGGTGGAGTCTTGAGACTGCTCTTCTTCCTGTTCTGCTATCTTCCTTTGAAGAAGCCCATTGATACCAGGGAGATTGTCAGCGCCGATGTGTGTGAGCAGAATTGAGTCGATCCGGTCCAAGTGACGGACGAGCTTCCAGAAGCAGGATTTTCTCTCGGAGCCTCCATCCACTAAGATGTTGAACCCATTCACAGCAAAGAGAGCAGAGTCACCTCGTCCGCCTGGAAATATGTAACAACATGGCTTTGACAGCTTCAGGAATCCCCCAGATGTAGGAGGCTCCAGTAGTTCAAAGGGTGAGGGGACGTCAACAGTTTCAGAGATGTACTCTGTAAACTCCGTGACACCCTCCATCCTGTGGAGAACAGGTTCCGGGTTTAGTTTGTATTCCAGGAACTCCTGCAGTATCTGCTGCTGTCCCAGGGAGCTCCAGCCCACCTCCCCGCGGCAGGACACAGTAAGTGTAGCCTGCTGCTTGGGGGATGTGGTTCCCAGGAGCTCACTGACCTGGAGAAAAGATGCTCCGAATCAGAGAGAGCACACTAAAAAACAGACCATTTCTGTGACAACCAAAGCTGATGCACAGTTCTTTAAATTAAAAACTCCTAAGTTCTACTGAAGAGTCAAATAGTTGAGACCTGGACACTCTCTAGCAAATAAATGTAATATTCATTTATTGTACAGAGTAAAGGAATGACCACATCCAGTGTTGCCAGGAAGAAGATAACTCACCCCAGGATCGGTAAGGATTCTTGAGAAGGTCTGGTAGTTGAAAATCCCCGTTTGAAGAAGAATGCCACCGTGATCTGAGCTCTGGCCACTAAGGACCACAAGCTTATGTCCTGCTGAGTCTGTAACTAGAGACAGGATCTGGGACACACAGAGATAGAGGAGGGGAGGGAGACAGAGGACAGTTAAAGGAGACACATCCTTCCAGAGACAAAAAGAAAATACACGCAGTGAAAATGGGAAAATGCATTATCTTCAACTGTGTCAAGGTTAGCAAACAAGATTTGAAGCAAACAGCATGAAAAATGACATATATAGTGAATATTAAAGAGTTTAAAATGTGACAAACAATAGAACAAGCCAAACTCACCTCTGATACAACGGTCTCTCCTGAAGGGTTGACAAGCACTACAGTCTCTAGGACATCACTCCTGTGGTGAAGGGTCCTTTGTCCTGTAGGACGAGATAGAAAAAATCTCGTAATCGTTATTGAATCAAAAAAGGATATTTGACGACTCTGCTGAGGCTTCAAGATGTTGAGATTGACCCGCACTGTTCTAAGACATTTGGCCGTCTGACCAGAAGACAGTATCCACAAGCCAGCTAAATAAAACTTATTTGCGTCAGGGAGATTTACTACACTGCATTCTGACTTGTATGTGGGGCAATCCCTATAAAGCGACAACCAACCCACTTGCGCATCAACGCAGAAACAAAAGTTAGAGCTGGAAAGAGGTCACTAATGTCTGTCGTGGGAAGTTTAAAATGACCTTCCCCACTGAAATTAAGAACATAAGCATTTGCCGTTCAGTTGAGTTTTACTCATGCTTTTTTACCCTTTAAAAAAAGAAAAAAAGTGTATTTCAGTGAAAGTCAGAAAGCGCTATTGTATCTGTATATGAAATGCATCTGAAACACAAATTCTGGTGCTCCATGCATTTTCAAGGTGATGCTAAGCTTTTAATTCCCCTCTGTTTCAGCACAGATTAGACATTTCACAGGTCTAATAATAGGAGGATCTCAGTGACTCAACCATCCACTGGGATTGTCAGTGTATCCCCAGAGTTTGTAATATTGTTTTTTAAATTCTTTTAGTGTGGTGTGTAAACATGCATTTTCCTTGAAATGGTTGAAATTTCCAACACTCATTTCATAATGTGATGTGTTACAGTAAAAAGGTACTGAGTTTGCTCTGTTTACTTTATATATTCAAGCAATGCAATAAAAATGAATGGCAGCCTTGTAAATCATTTGAGGGAGAGCAGTAAGAAAAGCAACCATTAGCTGAGTTTGAATTAAACTTATTTTAAAAAGTAGTTTTATACTTGCATAGAATAATTTTACTTAATCAATGTGATACAAGTCAAGCCCATCTGTAAATTGGATGAAGCTCTCAATATGTGGATGTGACAGTATATTACAGATAAGAATCAACGCCCTATTATCTGCTTTCAGCATATCATTAGGTCTTATTCTTTCGTAAACTGCATGATGATCACATAATCAGACACAACTTGGTTGGTTCATTATATAATTAACCTCTTTTTGAAATGTAAAACTATACTTCACATCAGATAGGAAAAGCTGCGGCTTAATTTTAATATTAAGTAAAAAGTTAATCCATAAAGCTAAATGCAATCCTCCGTTTGAACAAAACACGGGTGTCTCATCTTAAGAGGCTCTGTGAGGTTGGACTTTAAAAGTGCAGTGCTTGCAGCGAAATGCTACCATCAGCATGCTAACATGCACACAATAACAAAAATGCTAATGTGATGCAGCTATTTTTATCCTGAACGTCTGTCCTGATGGTCAGCAGAATGTTGCAGTATAGGAAACCAATCCATAGTTTAAATGTTCGAATAGAAACAGGACACTTCCTGAGTCAGTTTGAGCTGAATTTAGACTTTTTGACTCAATTTCCTTTTGTTCCAGCTCTCTCCCGTCTTTGTTTGAAGTTTAAAAAATACCAATGTGTCACTTTACCTAATAGTCTATTTTTCTTTATGGTCAGTTTGAATTATTTTTTTACCTTCTTTTGTGCCCCTTTTTCTTATATATACTATATCTATTCTTGTAAGCCTACCTTGGTTATCCTTATTAATTTCAGATATAATTTTCTGCATATTGAGGAGCACTTTTTAGCTGATTAAAATAAAATAAAACATCCCTTAGAAAGCCATGAATCCAGCTGATTTAATGTAAATGAACGCTATAAAATGAATAAAGAGTTAAAGTTGATGAGTTTCATCAGGGCTATTGAATTAAACCTGCATTGCAATAGACAGGTCAACCTAACCAAAAGCAAACTGGAGGATGTGGCTCCCTCTGTTGATGTTACCATAGCTGCACATTAACAGCCTCTTTTTTCCCCTATACAGATGCTTAAAAAAATATGTGAAACTAACAATAACTTCTAATCATCTGAACATGGACTAAGTGATCAAAGTTGACTGGAGAATTTGGTTGTCAGACACCAATAACCCTGACGGTTCAAAAGAATACGCTGGGACTGCAATCCAAGAGTTCTCACACTTCAGCAGATCTTCCCACAGTAGCATCCAGTTTCATCGCGTGATGACCAAGCTGTGAAGGTTAGCTATGATATGCTGAAATGCCAGGCATCACCCAGCTTTGCGATGAGTTTGTGAACCTGCTTTAAAAAAGAATGAGACCCAGTGAGGCAGTATGTGCCTTTGACCCGCTGATGTGCTTTTCTCAAGTGAAACAGAGAAGAAGAGAGTGCACCGGGTTCCGTTGATGGATGCCTGCAGGGTGATTGCTAGCTGACACTGCAGGCTGGTACAACAAGATACTACAACAACAAAGGCACTGTGTCTGAAAAGCTTCCACCGAGGGGGGTCACGGGGCATCAACATCGTGAGAGGAATCAATGTCCACTGCAGGCTGGAGGCTGGAGGTCTCTCAGATCTGGGTGCACTCTCTCTCCAAATTACATCTAACGAACTTGAGTCCGTGCAGTTGAGGCACATTGGCTTTAAAAAGTCATGAAATACACACAAATTCATTTTTAATGCTTGGATATATATAATCTAAAACTTCTATCCACATGTGACCAACTTAACCCCAGAAAGCAAGTCCAGTTATGCTTAGTTAAAAAAACCTTTATAAAAATCTTTTTGCAAAGTCCTTCTCCGGCAGCTATTAATCCCCTTAAGAACTCACTGAATTCCTGATTATTGTATAGGTTAACATTTTGCCAGTTAGAAAAACTTTTAAAACTGCTTAGGATTTGACTGACACCTTCCTTCTCATTCAGTGTGGAGTTTGCAGCAGCAGTTCTGCAAAGTGTAATCCAACTCTGCTAAATTTGCACAGCTGCACTCATATTGTAAAGATTCTCATGCAATACATAAAAAATAATCATGGCTGCTAGTCCTCACTTTTTCAGGGTAATGGGATTTTCACATATGAATCACTTTTCAAAATTCATTTCTCTTTTGACTCTTTGTCCAGTAATAACACCCCCCGTAGTGAGACACATAACCTGAGTGTAGGAAAAGCCGACAGTGGAACAATAAATTAGTTTCCCATTTGATTTACGTGCCTGCTCAGTATCTCCTGGATAAATGGCTGAAAAAAAATGCTGGTCCTCATAATTACTTGCGATACGAAGCTCCTGCTTTTGGGTTAAATATGCCAAGCTGCTGTCTGTTAGATGAAAACTACAGTCTGCTGTCTTTTTTGGCCATTTTTATTAAATATTTGATTTTCTCCAAATAAAATGGACTCACTTCTGCTGTGGTATACCATATTGAGATAAGAAAGGACAGTATCTGATGTTTTTCTGTCTTGAATTTCACTTTTCAAGAACCAACACTAGGAACAACAAATATTTTTCAAATATATTAACAGCTCCCCTACCAAGTTGTAATATTTCAAATGTAGAATAAATGTTCAAATATCCTGTGTGTTTTTTTTTCATCATCTTCTCTATAATGGTTATCATTTTCACAGTAAGTTAGCATAATGCATTTGCTAATAGAATTTCATGGTAAAGATGTATGGTCTGAATCCAGCTCTGATAAAACTGTAACCTGTTAGCATGTAGAACTGATTTGTGCTGTCAATCAAAAACCCATGAATGGCTGGGATATCTTGTTAACAAAATCACATATCTATTTGTAGGTATAGTTTGAGAAAAGTTCAGGTTGAATCTGGTAATCAAGGGGACTGGCACACAACAGACTTTGATCAACTTTGTAAGACAGACAACCGTTGAGGATTGATCAGATGTGATATTCACAGATAATAATTTATTTACATATTGATATATAGTTATGCAGGACATGGTTTTGTAAGAACATAACAGAACGTGCTCTCACTCTGAAATACCTGTGAGAGGTAAAATAATTACTTTGTTTTCACCTGAGTAAGGTGAAAACAAAGATCCAATTATCTCTCCATGTGTTGGGTTGGCTCAGATTAAATACGTCTCTACACCAAAGCAGTTTATCCTTTTTGTGCCTACAGTTTGGAAAACAGCAGTGAAAGATAGAGAAAATACTACAGTTACTTGGTTTAAGTCTGACAAAACTAAAACGTGCAATTCTCAAGAATTCATAGATACATATAAAACCAAATATTTTCACAGAAAAACAAAGGCAAACTGATGGTATGATCTATGATTAACTATAAATTGTGCCATAGTTCTGTGACTTTACTGGAATACATAAAATGTTTTTTTACTGGAAATTACAGCCCAGTGGCGTGAGCTAGACATGGGAGTCTCACTGCTTCCACTGAGATTCAAACAGTATGAGGCTAAAGTCTCCTCAGGGAGGCTAATTTTTCCTACTCAGCCTAAATGTGTTTGTTTGAAAAGTATTTTTAAAGGGAGCAATGTTTAGCCGAGCTGCCCTCATCCCTTCATCTTTGTGGCTGTCCTTTCCTGGCAGTGCACACAGAGATGAGGCATCGTTAGATTGCATGAGGTGACAGGCACATGCTTTTTCATTTATTTTAAGCAATCATACACAGAAAAGGAGGACTCCTCCCGAATGTCTTCAGAGAGTTTGAACAAAAGCATGGAAAAATAAGGGATACTAAAAAACCAAACAAACAGCTTGACGAACAATCTTTGAGTAATAATTGGGTTGGCAGCAGACGGGTAACACGACTGTATATTTAAAAGCAATTTAGAGAGGCAGAGTGTCAACAAACACAACGGGCACATTGACATATTGGACAAAATATCAACAAAGAGATGATCTGAAGTCAGATTGAAGAAATTAAATATGAATTTGCTAATCCTTCTGTTTAATATTACATTATTCTTAAACAGTGCCACCTAAATGCACCTTTAAGTTTTTACGAATCCTGGTAAACGTCAGCGGCAAATCAAAGTCTGTGACAGGACAGCTGTTGGAACTCAGGATGAGACAGGTGGCAGGATTCAGGAAAGTCTGTCTCATCAGACTCTGTGTCCTTTTCAGCTTAATCACCCGCACGCGGCTGTCTTATTAAATTATCATCAGCGATGGGAAGTAATGTCTAATATGACCGCAAAGAACACAAGCCGACAAGACAGACTGTCAGGAGTTTTACAATATTAACTCCTGAGAAAAACACAAACATCACCCTCTTCAAATGTGTTTTTTTTTAGGTTAAAGCAGGTTGTTGGAGACATTGTGAAAGTGTTGGCACATCTTTA